GGGTCCCAAGCCCAGAGCACAAGCCGGGCTGTGATGGTTCCACGGGTCGCTCAGGGAGGGGCCAAAGACCTTCCTTTCCGAGACTTCGATGAGCGCGTGCAGGGGCCTGGGCCGCTGCCAGGCACTTGGCAAGTCTTTGCTCCATCGGCCCTGATCTGGGCACGGGAGACCCTTCGCACCCTGCCCTGGGGTGCGGGTGCTCTCACATTGTCGCCTCAGCCGCATCCCTGGGAAGGCCTCCACGGCCTGTTGGAGTGGAGGGCAGCCCCTGGACGGCTGATTCGGGAGACTGAAGACCCCAGAATCTCAGGGCGCCTGGGGGCTCAGCAGGTTGAGCCTCTGCCTTCGGCTCAGGTCATGATCTCAGGGTCCTGGGATCAAGCCCTGCATCGGGCTCTCTGCTCAGCGGGGAGCCTGCTTCCTCCTCTCTCTCTTTGCCTGCCTCTCTGCCTACTTGTGATCTCTGTCTCTCTCTCTCTCTCTCTCTCTGTTAAATAAATAAAATATATATATTAAAAAAAAAAAACCCAAAACCAGAATCTCGGGGGTAGAAAACAAGCCACAATGCAGACATCAGGGCGAGCGTGTGCACTGGCGTGTATGGTGTGCATGTGAGTGTGTGGTGCGTGCTGTGCCTGTGGGGGGTCTGGGGGGCATGCATGAGGCTGTGGGAGGCCCTCAGACTGCCCTGTGTCCTGGCTCCTCAGGGTCTGCCGCCTGTTGGAGCCTCTGCTGGTCGGCCCTCGTGGCCTCTGGGTCCCAGGCTTGGAGAGACTCTGGCAGCAGCTGGGAGCCCACAGCAGGCTGGACCCCGGGTCTCTCTTGGGCCCGGTGGGCCAGACGTGCGTCTCTGCTCCCCAGCAGGCCGCGGCGGGGACGGGGGCTGAGCTGGCTGCTTCTCCTGGTGCTGGAGACACAGGGGAAGGGGCGGCCCCAGCCCAAGGCCTGGTGAGGAAAGTGTCCGAGGTTGTCCTGGAAGGAGCGCGGGGCCTCTGCGGATACAGTCTCCCCCCCACCCCAGTGATGGTGCGAACGGACCCCTCGAGCCCCCCGGGACTATTGTCAAAGCGGCAGCACCAAGTGCTAAAGCAGGACCTGGAACTCGGGGGCGGGACAGACGGGCGCGCCCGCTGCCCCACTAGGTGTCCCAGGAGCCCAGCGTCCGAGGAAGCCTGAGCGCCTCCCGAGCGGCTGGGGTCGTCCTGGCGCTCGGCCCGCGCCCCCACTCTGGCCGCGCTCACCCCGGTCCGGGCAGGCTGGGGGCCGTGCGGAGCCGGAGTTCGGGAAGTGGCGGCGGCCACACTGCGCGCTCTCGCTGATCTGGGGCCGCAGACGCGCCGAGGCGTCTGCGTGGAGCGGCCGCTGAGGGCGTGGGAGCCGGCGGGGGCGACGCAAGGAGCGCGGAGACCGCCGTCCGCGGGGCTCGCCAGGCAGAGCCGGACCCCGGAGGGCAGCAGGGCGGCGGCCGCCGGAGCTTTGCCCCGCGCCCTGGGCCCCTGGCCGCCCGCACCACCTGGAAACGCGGCGGGGCAGGGGGGCGCCTAGGGCGCAGCGAGGCAGGCCCGGCCCGGAGACCCGCCCCCCCCCCCAGCGCGGGGAGCCCGGGGGTGCCCGACTCAGCGCCCCTTGCAGAGCCGACTCCGCCTCGGGCTCCTCTCTGGGGCCAAGCGTGTGGTGGGGGCGGCCGCGGGGCTTCCTGAGCTCAGGGACGGCGCGGGGTCCCGGGGTGCCACCCGTCCCCAAGACCCGCTGGTGGCGCCTGCCACGCGTCGGGGCGGTAGTCAGAAGGTCACCCGGCCGGGCTCTCCCTCCAGCGGGCGAGGCGCCCGGGCGTGGAGAGCCATGAGGTGGACGGTACTTGCGACAAGAGCTGTCGTCCCCCCTCATCGCTTGTGCACGCCGGCCGTTCTGCCCTCCCGCCCGTCGCCGCCCAGAGTGGGTGCCAGCGTGTCTGGGGGACACGCGTCTGGCCGCGCTGTCGGCTGGACTCTGAGTCGCAGGTCACCGCGGGCTCTACTTGGAGGTTTGGTGGCGTGCGCGGTGGCGCTTCAGGCGGGGCGGAGGGACACCGGGGACGTGGGACCCTGGCCCCAGGGGACGGTTTGCCTAAGGTTAGGAGGGCAGATGTGAGGCACAGGGACAGTGCTGTGCCCGATGTGGTCAAAGCTGACACCCTCGATCAAGCTAACACGGCCAGCGGTGAGACAGGTCCGTGCGAGGCAGTGGCCGATGGCGCCCCTCCCTGACGGGGACACGGGGCACCTCACCTCGGAGGAACACCGGGCAAGCCCCAGCTGAGGGACTTTCTAAAAAGGAACTGACCTCCAGGCTCCAGAAATGCCAAGGTCGTAAAGGTCGAGGAAAGACTGAGGAGTGATCTGGAGTGTGAGGGGGATGAGAGCAACGGGCCACCCCTAACCACAGGCGAGCCTGGACTGGACACTTTCCCTACACAGAGCTGACAGGGAGTTTCAGGCGAGAGGAGAGAGTGACTCCAGGCACGGAGCCCAGGACGCTGTGGGGGCAGGTCTCACTGCAAACACGAGAACTGGGTGCCGGAACCTGGGGAGGTGACTCCCGTGCGTGTGACCTTGACTGTAGGGATGGCTTCATGGGGTTTGCCTATGCAAATTGTACAAGTTTAATCTGTGGCGTTCCGTGTTGCTAAAAAGAAAACCACGGGCCCAGGGACATGGGTGGCTCAGTTGGTTGAACATGTGCCTTGGGCTCAGGTCATGATCCCCGGGTCCTGGGATCGAACCCCCCATCAGGCTCCCTGCTCAGCCAGAAGTCTGCTTCTCCCTCTGCCTGCCACTCGCCCTGCTCGTGCTGTCTCTCTGAGGTGAATAAATACATAAAATCTTAAAAAAGAAGCATGGGAAGGAGAGGGGAGCGGGGAGGAGGGGAAGGGAGGAGAGGAGAAAAAAAACACGGGCCCAAACTGTAGTAACTCACGTCAGGGACCCTTGAACCAGTGAAGCTGGGATGGTCCCGGTCAACACTCAGATATGTCTTCCCCCTTCAAGAGCCCCTCGTCTGAAGCAAGGCATCCTTTGCCAATAACTTCCTTTTTCCCAGTCCCTCTCTGCCTTTAGAAACCTCTCCTTTTCTGCCGCTCATGGGAGCTCCTCTCTACCTCTAGATGGGAAGATCCCTGCCCAAAATGGATTGAAAAAGCCGATTGGATCTTTAGAATTTACTCAGTGGAATGTTTGCTGGCAGGGCCCGTCAATTATACCTCGATGAAGCCACTCTTTTTAAAAAGACCAGCACTGGGGTAATTTGTAGGACCTGAGTGGGAGCTGAGCACACACGGGGGACTCGTGGTGCTAGTCTCGGGGCTAGCACGTGTGCATGCATGTGTGCATGTGGGATAACGTCTGTGTTTGAAGGAAGCAGACCAGAAGCTACTTGGGGGTGATGGGATGCTCGTTTTACTCTCAAATGGCGCAGGGGGAGAAAAGCTTTCGCAGCCTTGCAATCCCGAATTATTTAAAAATAAACAATACCTGTAGCATTTGAACTGTGTCTGGAATGTGCTGGCGGCCTTGGAGGGACAGAACGCACGGTGTGGGGTTCCAGTTGGGGGTGTGGGTTAACAGAAGCAGGGAGGTGCTTTTAACCTGTGCGTGTTTGGGGAACACTCCCCAGAAGGCCTTCTGGGAGCAGAGCAGGCAAGGGCGGGTGGGGACTGGGGGCCGTCCTGCAGGCCAGGGCTCTGGGAGGGGTGGAGTCTGTGCCCTCCATCCTGGGGATCCTGGATGAGACCTGCGGGTCCCACAGTAGACGACGGCTCACCCCTGCGCTGCACAAACGTGCTTCCCAGGCACTGCTCCAACCCGCATTTTGAAGGCCTCGCTGTGCACGGGATCGACTGTTCCTCCCCCATAGCCGGCACCCGGCATCCCTCATGGGAAGGGATTTCTAACAAGCGGCTGGGTAGAAAGCCAGACTGTGTGTGCTGTGTCATGCCCAGGGCAATGATTTCCTCCACTGGACTGCCTGATGACTGACAAGGTCAAGGACGTGTGGCAGAGGGCAAGCCCACCGGGGCCCCAGGGAGCAGAGGTCTCAGAGAGGCCGGATGCGCTTTAGGACAGGAGCCTCTCTTCCTGGGACCACACCTGGGGTCCGGCCAGGCCCGGGTGAGGGAGAGGCAGCAAGGGCCCGCCTGTGTGTCAGGGTCACACCTGGAGGGGCCTGGTGAAGGTGTCATGGCCCTGCCCTGAACTCCGGACCTCTGGACAGTAGCTTTGGTCCTGTGAGGCCTATGGCACAGGACTGGAAGACGCTTGGGACAGGCCCTTGGACTCAGCCCCAGAAGTGGAATGGCCATCAGAATCCACAGGGATCGGGGCGCCTGGGTGGCTCAGTGGGTTAAAGCCTCTGCCTTTGGCTCAGGTCATGATCTCAGGGTCCTGGGATGGAGCCCCGCATCGGGCTCCCTGCTCAGCGGGGAGCCTGCTTCCCCCTCGCCCTCTGGCTGCCTCTCTGCCTACTGTGATCTCTCTCTGTCCAAAGAAAAAAAAAGAAGACACGGGGATCGGTGCCACGAAGGAGAAGCCCACAGCAAGTCCTTTGGCACCGGGAAGAGTCTGCCAATTTGTGCTGAGATGAAATTCTAAAAGGGGGAGGGAGGGGAACAAAAAGAAAACAGCTGGGGAAGGAGAGGACCAACCCCCAACTCCCAGAGCCACACCTGAGAGGGAAGAGGGGACACCTCAGGGCGGCCACACCTGTGGACAGGGCTGAGCACTGTGCTCGGAGGCCCGAGGGGCAGGAGTCCTGGCTGACCAGGGATGCGTGAGGAAGACTCTGGAGCTACAGCGGCCCCCAGAAAGGGGCCATGGTGGAGTAGGGTCAGCAGGGCGGGAGACCAGCCCCAAGCCCAGTATGCCTGCACTACCGTGCAGCGATGCCGGCCCCAGGGCTCGCGGGGGTCAGCTCCGGGCCATCTTCCCCCAGCCGGCCAAGAAGGGCATGCCCCCGGTCCACGGTTGTTTTTTTTTTTAATTTCCTTTTTCAAAACTCAGGGTGGGGCATTTGGCCAGCACCTTCAGGTTGTGTGTCAGGAGGGCAGCAGATCCCTGTGAACAAGGAAACAGAAGCTGCCGTGGTGCCCCGCCCCTGCCCCGTGCCCCCAACCTCCCTTCCTGGACACCCCCAGAACGGCCCGCCCCGGGCCTTTAAAACCTCCGTGCCCTCCTCTCCCACTGGACAGAGGCTCAGAGACAGTACCATGTGGCTGAACTTCAGCGGCAGGCGGGCCCTGGTGACCGGGGCAGGGAAAGGTGGGTGTGAGCAGGGCGGGTAAGGGTGTCGGAGGGGCCGAGCCAGAGAGGAAGGTGGGGCGCAAGGCCTCCCAGGTTTGTGTTGGGGTCTGAGTCCCTCCATGCCTGTCACGGACCAACCCGCCAGCAATCATCCCCTCACTGCCGCCCCGACAGCCCCTGGACCTGAGAGCCCGGCAGGCTGCCCTGGGATAGGAAGGCAAGACCATTGCCCCAGATGGTGGCCCTCAAGCTCAGAGATCCAGCCAGGGCCTCTTCCATGGGTCTGGTGGGCAGGAGCTCCTCGGGGGCCTCCCTCAGCAGGAGCCAGGCTCAGACCTGGTACCACGTCCCCCTGGTGCCCACTCTCTGCCCAGCACCTTCTCATTCCCTTTTCCGAGCAGAGGGGGCTGCAGCCTCGGTCCTCAGGCTTGACCCAGATGTCCTGGGCCATCTCCTCACCAGTGTACCCCTGCAGGGATCGGGAGAGACACTGTGAAGGCCCTGCACGCGCTGGGCACCGCAGTGATCGCCGTGAGCCGCACCAACATGGACCTGGTGAGCCTCTCCGAGCAGGTGAGGCACGCACCCCCGCCGTGGCCCGAGCCTGCCCCCCACGCCCTCCGGGTGCCTCCGGAGCCTGCCGTACTACCTCCTTGATCGCTGACCAATGCTTCTCCACAGTGCCCTGGGATAGAGACCGTGTGTGTGGACCTGGGTGACTGGGAGGCCACGGAGCGGGCACTGGGCAACGTGGGCCCCGTGGACCTGCTGGTGAACAACGCTGCCACGCTGCTGACGCAGCCCTTCCTGGAGGTCACCAAAGACGTCTTCGACAGGTGGGGAGTAGGAGAGCAGGTAGACTGGGGAGGGGCTGCTGGGGACGTGGGGCAGGTGTGGCCACGGACCATCTGACTCTCTGCCCTCCCCCAGGACCTTCAACGTGAACCTGCGCTCTGTGGTCCAGGTGTCCCAGGTGAGCCAGAGGGAGGACAAGGCCCAGCAATGACAAGGCCCAGGTGGAAGTGTCCTGGGGTCAGGCTGCCTCTTTCCTGGCTTCTAGATCGTGGCCCGGGGCATGATCCAACGAGGAGTGCCCGGCTCCATTGTCAATGTGTCCAGCATGGTGGCCCACGTCACCTTCCCAAACCTAGCTGTCTACAGTGAGTCCCTCTGCCCAGCCTGTACCCCCCCTTTCCAGGCAGACGCTGGGCTCTGGGGCTTAGCCTCTGTGCAAAGGAGGAGGAATCCCTAATGGGTCCTCAGGGCTGTCTGCCCTCCACAGGCTCCACCAAGGGCGCAATGACGGCACTCACCAAAGTCATGGCTGCAGAACTGGGGCCATACAAGGTGGGCATGGGAGGGGGTACCTGGGGAACAGGGGTCGGGGAGTCACAGAAGGTCGGGACTTGGTAGGTGCTGGGGAGCAGGACTTCGGGATGGCAATGGCAATGGGCAGCAGAGGGCATGGGAGAGGCCTGAGGCCTACCCAAGGCTCTGGGCAGTGGGGTCAGCGATGGACTGAACGCAGAGAGCAAGTTCTGCAGGTGTGGGGGGAGGTGCCCAGGGGCTGTGGGGGCGGGGCTCATCTACCTGCTGAGGCCTGCTTGGACCCCCCGGGGGCTAGATTCGGGTAAACTCTGTGAACCCCACGGTGGTGCCGACGGCCATGAGCCAGAGAGTCCTGACGGACCCCGACTTTGCCCGGAAGCTGAAGGAGCGGCACCCGCTGCGGAAGTTTGCAGGTCAGCGGGGCTGTGGGGAGCGACCAGCGAGGTGCGGCCGGGGCGGCCGGGACGGCCCGGGCGCGCCGCGCTGACCCCGCCTGCCCCCACTGCCCCGCGCCGTTCCCCGCAGAGATGGAGGACGTGGTCAACAGCATCCTCTTCCTGCTCAGCGACCGCAGCGCTTCCACCAGCGGCTCGGGCATCCTCGTGGACGCCGGGTACCTAGCCTCCTAGAGCGCGCGGCGCGGGCGCCCTCCCGCCAGGCCCCGCCCGGACACGCCCGCACGCCCGAGGCCCCGCCCGCACGCCCGAGGCCCCGCCCCCGCGCCCGCACGCCCGAGGCCCCGCCCCGCCCCCGCCTGCGCGCCCGAGGCGCCCTCAACCCTCCCGCCCCACCAGCCCCTCTCCGGTCCAGACTCCGCACCTGGCCACGCTCCCCGTCCGCACCCGCGCCGCCTGGAAACCCGCCCCGGCCGCCCCCGCCCACTGTGTCCGCTGTGCTGGTTGGATTTGCCTAAACAAACGGAGGCCATTCTCCTGGGTCCAGTGCGCGCCAGGGTTTCGGAGCGGCAGCCGCGAGGCTGGGAGGAGAGGATCAGGGAGGGAGGGCACACATCTCACCTTCCGTGAAGTGAAGGGGCACATCCGAGAGCCAGCCGGGCTCCACCGCTGGCCCTGCCTTGTGGCTGAAGGGCACCAATTGCTCACACAGAGGAGATTCTTGCTGTCCAGGCCCATCCCCCCAAACACCCAATCGGCCCTGGGCGAGGCCAAAGTCCAGAGGGCACAGGGCAGCCTACAGCCCCTTCCCTCCCGGGGAGGCTCTGGCCCGCCCTTCAGCCCCGCCCCACTGCTGCGACCACCGCGGGTCAGAGAGGTCGGGTGGGGGATCTGGACCGGATGTAGACCCTCCCTCCGGGAGGTGGGACAGAGCGCTCAGGCCCGTTGGGGTGGGGGTGGGGTGCTGGACCAGTGGAGTTTATCCAGCCCAAAGGAATCCAACTCCACCTCCAGGCCCACCTCCCCTCGAAAGACCCCTCCGTGGAAGGAGGCCTGAGCTGGGCAAGGGTCCGAAGCTGCTGCCCTGCCTTCTGTCTCTGGCCGGAGTCCAGGCAAGGAGCTCTGCACACCCTGCCAGGTTCCCCCACGCTCACCAGAGTCAAGTCCCTGTAAGGGCCTGTTTAGCCAGAGCGATTCCATCTTGGATTAAACAGTCATTTTGTTGTTTATGCAGTAAAACTTAACTGACCCTGCCCCACCCCCCACCCCACCCCCCCGCCAGGGGACTTACTTAAAAGCAAGCCCAGGAAACCAGTCCCAGGTGACAAAGCCCAAATACAAGGGTGGGTCAGGCCGGGTGGAGGTATCCAATCAGTGGGGGCGCATACTGTCTCCCTAGCTACCAAGGAGTATGGGCCCCACCTTTGCGTGCTTTTTGGGCAACAATTCTGACCAAGGTGATAGGCTAGTTCAAATATCTACTAGGGTAAATTATAATTCAATTGGTCACTTATGTGTGACCTAACAGGACTGTGCAGCTTTCTCTGTGTGTTACAATTTCACTGGCCACCTGTGCGTGGCCAGGCCCAACCACATGGCCTTTGCTCTGAAAAGCTAGTCTGTAAGGCAGAGAGAGGTCGCCTCTTTCCAAGGGACGGCCCTGACCGGTCAGTTCGATTCTCGATGCTTGGCACGAAATAAAGCTTTGCTTGACCTTCGCTTTGTATCAGTCTCGCTCCTTTAATCACAGACCCATTGGTGGGGGACCTTTCAGTGCCCACCGAACACCTGGGGGGTGATGAGGCCTAAGGGGGTGGACTCAGCTGGACTGGAAGTCTCCAACCCTGAGCAAGGATGCAAGGGAGGAGGGGCTGGGTGGGGTCCTGCAGGCAATGGTCCCACAGGGCTGGGAGTGGGGGTAGGGAGAGCTGAGGGCATTTCCAGCCCACCTGCAGGGCCTCCCACAGCAAGGTTGGTGCCAGAGTTGGCTCACTGACGGTCACGGGACAGGTTAGAGGATTTAGACAGCATTCTGGGGGCAAAGGAAAGCCACAGAAGGGATCTAAATAGATGTACCTCTCAGGAAGGACTTTCAGATGGGGGCCACTCTTCCCTTGGCCTCTGGCGGGGAGGCCAGGGTTTGTGGGGCACCAGGGGTGGGGACCTCAGGGCTTGGCGGTGAGGACTCACTTGGCCATTCTCTGGGGGCTTCTCAGATGTGTGCCACGGGCTGCCCCACTACCCTCTCCTCCAACCTGTCCACTTGGGCCCAAAGCCCCAGTGACCCAGAGGCCCTGCAACCACCCCACTTTGGGCCATAGAAGGTACTCCAGGCAGTTCTAGCTTTTTTGCCATAACCCGCTAAACGAATCAGCTTTTATGGGGGAGACAGTGCACCGGTATGCATCTTACAAGTATCTGTATGCATGTGGGCTCACAGACGTATCTGTGAATGACCCCAAAGCCTCTAGAAGCAATGCTTGCCCTTGCTGGCCACCGTGCACCTCGATGACCCCAATCCTAGCTCTTCTTCTCCGGCCCAAGTTTTGGTAAGTGCTGGTGGTGGCAGGTGAGTGGTCCTGGATGACTTTGGGGTCCCTTCAAGGTCAACGCGGATCTTGTTGGCTTCTTCAGGCTCAGTTGTGCAAACGCTCCCTCGGGCACTCCAGGGAGCCCTCCCGAGCCGCTCCCGGCCGGGGCTGGGGAGGAGGCGCGCAATCGTTCCCACCGAACTCATTTGCAGGAACCAAACGAGAAGCGCCAGCTCCGCGCTCTCCCCTTCGCACGTAGCTGCAGTTCTTCCCGGCATGAAGGACCACGTCTGCGCTCCAGTAACCAGCCGGGCCGGGGACACGCTCGCGGACGCTGCGAAGCCGACTCACGCGGGGCGGACCCGCCGCTCCTGCCGCGCGGCCTCCCTTTCCCGAGTCTCCCCACTGGTGGGGGCGGGGTATGTTAATGTCCCCGCCCCCAGCCCGGACGCAGGCCTGTGATTGGCCGCCCCGCGCCCCGCCCCGTGCCCGCCCACCTGCTGAGTTGCGGCCGCAGGGCGCTGGGACCAAACGCTAACCATGGAGCTGGGCCTCGCGGGCCGCCGGGCGCTCGTCACAGGGGCGGGCAAAGGTGGACCTGCGGGGCGGCCGGGGTTGGGGGGCGCGGACGGCCGGAGTCCGGGGGCGGCGGGCGGCGGGGGCGCGGTGCCGGGGGTGCGCCACGCTGAGCCGCGCTCCCCACAGGCATCGGGCGCGCCACTGTCCAGGCGCTGCACGCGGCGGGTGTGCGGGTGGTGGCCGTGAGCCGGACCCGGGCCGACTTGGACAGCCTGGTCCGCAAGGTAGGCGCCGCCTAGTCCCCGCCCAGCGGGCCGCGGGAGGCGGGCGGGGCGGCGGGGAAGTCGGGCCCGGACGCGCAGGCGCCTGGCGCTGGGGCTGACTAGGGACCCTCCGCAAGCCCTCCCGGGGCGCTCGACCTCCATTGGCCACCCGGCGTCCGGAAGAACGGCGACACCCGCTGGGCTTGGAAGGAGGCCGAAGTGGCTGCTTTGCCATTTCTCAGGCTTTTTTCTCAGGCTTTGCAGGCCCGGCGCCTGAGCCACCGGGGTGCAGGAAATGGACTGGCCAGAGCCGGGCCAGCCTCCAGGTCCCTAAGCCCTGAAATGTCTGGGGGCCCAGGGGCCGTGTTAGCTCCTCTGTCGCCTCCTTCAGCAGGCTGGGGTTCTGAACCCCAAGAAGGGAGCTGGATCCTCTGAGACCTCCAATCTCTCCCTATGTCTGTCTGAAAGTTCTCTTGTGGCAGAGGCCCAGCTGTGCCCCTCCTTGGGCATGGAGCCTCTGGTAGCTGTGTCCCCCACCCCCACACACACAGTGCCCCGGGGTGGAACCCGTGTGTGTGGACCTGAGTGACTGGGAGGCCACAGAGCGGGCACTGGGCAGCCTGGGGCCCGTGGACCTGCTGGTGAACAACGCTGGCGTGGCACTGCTGCAGCCCTTCCTGGAGGTCACCAAGGAGGCGTGTGACACGTGAGCTGGCCAGGGTGGAGGAACCCTAGGGCAAGGGCTGCCCCTGCAGCAGCAGCCCCAGTCTCTGACAAGGGTCTCTCCACCCGCCTCCAGGTCCTTCAACGTGAACCTACGGGCTGTCATCCAAGTGTCCCAGGTGAGCTGCCTTCAGAGCAGGAGCGGGAATGGTGGGTGACTAGTTCACTCTACCTCACGCTACCTCTGCAATTCCAGATCGTGGCCAGGGACTTAATAGCTAGGGGAGCCCCAGGGTCCATCGTGAACATCTCCAGCCAGGCCTCACAGCGTGCAATAAATAACCATAGCGTCTACTGTGAGTGATCCCCCGGCTGCACCCCAGCCCCGACCCCGGTGACCCCCAAGCCTGCAGCCAGCTCAGGCTCAAGGCACGCCTTACATCACAGGCTCCACCAAGGGCGCCATGGACATGCTGACCAAGGCGATGGCCCTGGAGCTCGGGCCACACAAGGTGAGCCCTGCTGGGATGCCTCCCATCACCCAGCTCCCACCCCCCCGTCCCGGCCCTGGGCACCTAGCCTGCCTTGCTGACCTCCTGCCTATCCTGGTGTAGATCCGCGTGAACGCGGTGAACCCCACGGTGGTGATGACCCCCATGGGCCAGGCCAATTGGAGCAACCCCCAGAAGGCCAAGACCATGCTGGATCGAATCCCACTTGGCAAGTTTGCTGGTGAGTCAGGCAGGAGCCCTCGTACCTGCCTCGATGAGGCATGGGAGGGAAGGATGAAGGTCAGCCTCCGTTGGTTATGCCCTGACTTCCACTCTGCAGAGGTGGAGAACGTGGTGGACGCCATCCTTTTCCTGCTGAGTGACCGGAGCGGCATGACCACGGGTTCCGCTGTGCCGGTGGACGGGGGCTTCCTGGCTTCCTGAGTCTCTGACACGCCCTGGCCCCATGCTGAGTGCACTGCTGTCCCCCCATCTCTCCAATAAACACGATTCTTCTGCCTAACCTGCACACTGATTTCTAAGCTGCTGGCAAGCGGCCAGAGATGCAGAGCCCAGTGCCGTGTGTGGGAATGAGTCCCAGGTACGCAGGTGCCATTCAGCTTAGACCCCAGGCCAGGGGGCAGGCTGGCTCCCATGCCCAAGATTTTCAGATCCGGCCGGGTCCCTGGCAGGGCCTGGGAGGTAGGACCTTCCAGGCCAGCTCCTAAGCTTGGTGACGCATTTGACCAGGAATGGCCTTCGGCCCTGTCCAGAGGCCGTCGGGGTAGAAGCAGTGGAGTTCTTACCAACCAACTCTGCGGGCGTAACCCTGACGTAAGTGTTGTTGGTAAGGTAAGGAGTTAGCGGAAAGGGAGGCAAGAGAGGTGGGCGTTGGAGCTTCGATGATCTGCCGGTGAGCTGAAAGGCTTCTTTGCTGAATCAGGTGAGTTTTCAAATGCGGGAAGAACATTCTCTCACCTTCTTGAGTTCTTCACAAAGCACCGAGTGCACGAGACACGGCACCTGTGAGTTTTATCTGCATTTGTGTGTTGTTGCTTTAAGCCTACACGACGAATAGCCAATCAAGTCCTGTGGCAGAACTCTCCGTTCCCACGGCCTAAAGACTCCCACACTTGATACCATTGAGGGCAGAGTTGGGGAGAGATGCACGGTCTCCCACCTTTTTTTTTTTTTTTTTTTTTTTAGTCATTTATTTTTAGAGAGACAGAGCGTGAAAGCAGGGACAGGGGAGAGGGAGAGAGAGAACCTCAAGCAGACTTCCTGCCGAGCGTGGAGCTCACGGCACTGGGCTGGACGCGGGGCTCGAGGTCCCGAGTAGAGCCGAAACCGAGTCAGAAGACGAGCCGCCTGAGCTGCCCACGGGCTCCGAGCTCCCCAACCTTTACGTGGCACCCTTGCTACACAGACACATTGGGCGTAGATAACCCCAAACATAGGTGATAGCCCCGTGTACAAGAACAATTAGGGGTCTTTGGACTGTTTGTTTGTTTTTTTAATGTATTTATTTGACAGAGATCACAAGCAGGCAGAGAGGCAGAGAGAGAGGGGGAAGCAGGCTCCCTGCTGAGCAGAGAGCCCGATGCAGGGCTAGATCCCAGGACCCTGAGATCATGACCTGAGCCGAAGGCAGAGGCTTAACCCACTGAGCCCCCAGGCACCCCAAGTTTACACAGTTACTAAAGGCTCTTGAACAACTGGCTAGCACATTCCCCAAAATCTCGCAGCTGGCGCGCCTGTTGTGCAGCACACGGGGGAGCAGGGCTTTCTAATCACGGGTCTGCCTGGAGCGCGCCCTGCGGCCTCAGGGGTGAAGTCCAAGCTCCTGGACTGCGGGGCCCTCCCAGGCTGACGGCAGCCTCACCTCCCACTGTCTCTGGCTTCAGCAATGACAGACTGGCCCCTTGCTGCTCCCTCCTCTCCTCTTCTCTCCCTTCTCTCTATATCGGCTGCCTTTCCTCCTGACTTCTTCTCTTCCAGCCCTGGTGGGTGGCGGGGAGCCAGGGGGAGGCTACCAGCTGCCAGCACAGTCCCGCCAGGGGCTCCGTAGGGCTCGGTGGGCCCTGACTACAGGCTGTCCTCTCACCACACCTGGGAGCCGGCTGACTGGAGCCCACCTCAGCCCCCACCCCCGGGGTGTGCCCCTCTCGGAGGCCTCAGGTCAGGACAACGGGGGCTTTCTTCACCCCAAAGGGGCTACGTGCCCTTACACCTGCTTTGGTCTGGGTCCCATCGTTTGGGGACTGACACAGCTGAGCAAAGCTGTGTCAGCTGCGGTCTTTTTCTCCTGTTGCCCAGCGTGTAGGGTCAAGTTCACTCCACTCTCTATGGGGGAGGTTAGGGACAAAGCACCCCAGGCCAGAGAGAAGGGTACCCAGACAGCCGAGAGATGGTGGAGAACGTTTATTGTATAAAAGAAGTAAGGGCCACCCAATCCTGGGGTGCTCGAACAGGACCCCCCCACCTCCCCCCATCAGGAAGCCCATCCTGGGGCTGCCCTGGACCCGCCCCTGCAGCCTGAGGGAGACCCTGCTCCCTTCCAGCCTCCCGTGGGGTCCAGGTACAGTTGGAGCTGTAACCCCAGAGAGAGGAGACAGAGCAGACAGGACCCCACTGCCCCAGCCCTGTCCCCAGGAGCGGTGGCCTCGTCCCCATGCTTCTTCCCCCTCCCCACCCACACCACTCCCCCACAGCAGACTCAAGGACACCAGACATGTCAACACGACAGCAAACCAGGGCTGGGCGGGGCTGCCCCTCCCGAAGCAGCCTCTAGAAGACCCTCTAGAAGACCGTGCACTTCTTCCCCGGCTTTTTCACAGGCGGCGGGCAGAGCACAGCCCGGATGGCCTCGTCAAACACCGTCTTCAGGCCCCGCTGAGTGAGGGCTGAGCACTCCAGGTACTTGACAGAGCCTGAGGGCAGTCGGGGTGGGGGGGATGCTGAGGAGGGGAGTCAGTGCAGGGGGGGGGGGAGCACAGCAAGGGAGGGGGGCAGCGCGGCTGGGAGGGGGAATGCAAGGAGGGGGAGGAGGGGGTCAGCACTGGTGGGGGGCCCTCCAGAGCCTGCCTCTGCCCCTTCTCTCCTGCCCTCACCTGAGGGCCCCGCAGTGCCCACTCACCGATCTCGCGGGCCATGGCCAGGCCCTGGGGGTAGGTGATCGGTGCCAACTTCTTGTCCCGCAGACGCTCAATGGTGTCCTTGTCATCACGGAGGTCCAGCTTGGTGCCCACCAGGAGGATGGGCGTGTGGGGGCAGTGGTGTCGCACTTCTGGGTACCACTGTGGGGATGGAGGCTCTGACCCTGACACCCAGGGGTTCCCCCACAGCTATGCCTGCAGGAGACCATGGCTCCCAGGGGTGCCTTCATCTCAGTCCCTGGACCCACACTGAACCCTTCCTACTTCAGGAAGTGGCCGTGGGCTTGGTGGGGAAATGACCAAGGACAAAAATGCTACCTGGAAGTTTGAAGGGCCTATCAGCTCTCCCTGCCACCTCTATCCCACCTCTGCCCCTCTGTCCCTACCCCCCCCCCCCCGTCACCTTCAGACCCAAAGAAAACAGGGATCTCCTCTGCCTCCAAAGGACAAATGACCTGAGGTCTTCAGGTAAGAGGCCCCACCCGGCCAGGGAAAGCCCTCGGGACCAGCCGCTCTCCCCCAGACATGCCCTCCAAGGGCAATGCCCTACCTTGGCTCGGACATTCTCAAAGGACGCCGGGCTCACCAGAGAGAAACAGATCAGAAAGACATCCTTGGGAGAAAGGGAGAGGGGGGCACGGGTGGGAGCGGTCAAGGACCTCCAAAGGGCCCCTGCTCCCTGCACACTCACACAGGAGGACCTCCAGGGCCCCGCCCAAGCCACCCAGCTCCTGCGGCTGGCCTTGTTGTCACCTACAGTTTGGGGATAGGACAATGGCCTCAGCCGGTCGTAGTCCTCCTGCCCGGCAGTGTCCCATAGCCCCAGGTTGACCGGCTTCCCGTCCACCATCACATTGGCGGAGTAGTTGTCGAAACTGCCGGGCAGAGCACGATGGTCAGCCCAGGTCCAGGGCTCGCAGGCTGCCCGGACCCCGAGCTTTGGCGGCACCCTCGCCCCACCCCACAAGCCGAGACCACCCCCCTCCGCCCTGCCAGGGGAGCCCGGCGCCAGCCGGCCCAGACCCGCCCCCCGGAGTGCTCACACGGTGGGGATGTACTCTCCCGGGAAGGCGTTGGTCGTGTAGCTGATGAGCAGGCAGGTCTTCCCCACGGCGCTGCGGACACAGGGCGAGCCCACGTTGCTCCGGCCGAGCCTCCAGCCCTCTGCCAGCCAGGGCCGCCCCCTCTCCCGAACCGCAGGCGGAGACCTCCAGCGGGTAGGGCGGGGCGAGCCGGCCCGGAGGCGCCCCCGGCACCCCGGGAGGGTGGGACCGGAGCGGGGCTCAGTGCAGGTGAGAGGCCCGGCCCCACCCACCCGGAGGCCAGGCGGCGGCCCCGGGGCAGCATCAGGTGGGCCCCGGGTGCAGGCCCGCGCCCCGCGGCCAGCCGGGACCCCGCCCCGGCGCGCCCTCCCGCTCCTGCCCGGCCCCGGGGCGCGCGCGGTAAGGGCGTCGGCGGGAGGGTGTTGGGGAGAGCCGCCCCGCCCGGGCCGAGCCGGTACCCGCCCCGGAGCCGTGCGTTAACCCCCGCCGCGTCCCAGGGGCCGCCCCCGCCCGGCCCGCGGCCTCCGCGCCGCGCACTCACCCGTCGCCGACCACCACGCACTTGATGGCCTGCATGGGCGCGGGCCGGGCGGGCGCGGCCGCGAGCCGAGCTGCGGAGAAATGCCCCGCGCCGCAGCGGCCGCGGACCCGAGCCGAGCGCCGAGCCGAGCGGCCGGAGACAGCCGAGCGCCGCCGAGCGCCGGGCGCGGAGACAGCCGAGCGCGGCCGGCGGGGGGCGCGGGGGGCGCGGGCCCGCCCCGAACCCGGCCCTCGCGGTTCCGGGAGAACTCCGCCGAGGGGTGGGGATGTGGCGAACCCCGGCCAGTACCCCAAGCCCGGGCGGGCTCCCCAGCGCCCCGGGATCCCTGCCGCGCGCCGAGGGGGGAGGGGGCAGCGCGGGCAGGGCCCTCCAGCCCCCACCAGGCTGAGCTGGGGCGGTCTGTGTGCCTGCGGCCCCTGCCGGGGAGGGCATGCCCAGGGCCGGCTCTGCCGGAGGGTCTGAGACCCACCCACGCTCTGGCCAGGAGACTGCAGGTGCCAGCGCTGCCCTGTCCCTCCACCGCCCCCCCGCCTCCGTGGGCAGGAGGGAAAGGCCACCCAGATGCACCCTGAGGGTCTTCCTTCCAGAGCTGGGGCAGAGGGTGCCCGGGGCATCGGCGCACAAACGTGGGAAAAGGTACCAGCCCAGAATGTATCACAAATTGCAAAAGTTCTGTATTTCAAGAGACCCAGCGGACGGGGCAGCCGCTGTGCATGGTCAGTTGTGAAAGGAGCCTGTGTGGACACGTTTCGCGGGCTGACCGCCAGCGAGAAGGGGCTGCCGTGGAGCAGGGGCGGCTCTTCCGGGTTTTCTTCCCCCATGCGTGCTTCATGTTCCCGGGGACTGGAGGCAGAACTCAGGGAGCGCCCGGAGGGGTGCCCACTCCAGACGTCGTGGCCAGCGGCCCTGGGCTCGCCAAGCCGGGCACCCTGGTGGTGAGCAGCAGCGGTCCCCACTCACGGATCCCACGAGCCCCGGATCCCAGTGGCAGACTCCCTGCCAGTCTGTTTTAAGAAAGTGACAGGCAGGGATGGGACCCACAGACGTCTGGGAGGCGCTGCCCTCCTGCACCCCCCCCCCAGGCTCCTGCCTCCCTTCACTTCTGGGGGCTCATAGCTCTCAGAGGAGACCCCTGCACGTAGGCCAGGACAGCATTTTGCAGGAGGTTGGCCCTCTGGACCTCCTCCTCCCGGATCCGAGCGATCTCTGCCTCCTTGAGCCGAAGTTTCTCCCGGAGAGAGGCGTTCTCACTCTCCCTGTCCAGAAGCGCCTCCCGGTGGTCACTTGCGATCACTGCGGGACAAGAAACGGGTGGGGGCGGTGCCCGGCTCAGGGTCAGCCCTGGACCCCAGGCCATCCAGAGGTGGGCAGAGCCTCCTTGTGGGAGGGGGCGGGGGGGGGGGCCACGGTGATGTGGGCGCTGCCCAGCGCCGCAGCCTGGCCGCCTGTCGGGTCACCCAGGGAGAACGTCCCGCCAAGCTCAGCTCACCTTTCAGCCGGCGCTCCAGGGCCGCCACCTTCTCTCTCAGCGCCTCCTGGGCTGCCAGCTCTGCCCGCAGGCGGCCATTCTGCTCCTGCAGCTCCACCCGGACCCTGCTCACCTCTGCCGCCTTCTCTTGGTCCTTGTTGCCCAGTTCCTGCCAGACATGGGGGTGAGGGGGCTGCAAGCCAGGGGGTGCGTCCCTCTAAGTCCCGCGTACCTGCTGCAGCTCCTCCAGGCGCCGCCTCAGGCCTTCAGCCTGCAGGCCCAGCTGGCTGGCCCGGGCCTGGGCGTCGGCCACCGTCCGCCTCTGCTGCAGGCAGGCGCTCTGAGCCTCGTCCCGAGCCCGCGCCAGCAGCCGCAGCTGCTCCTCCAGGTGAGCCAGGCGCTGCTGCTGTTGGGGGCAGGGGCCGGTGAGCAACGCGGAGCGGCCCGAGGCCTGCCTGCTGCTTCCCTGCGTGAGGCCCCGGCTCACGGGGGTGGGAGGGACCCCCGCTCAGCCAGAGGGAGCTTTCACGTGCGACACGGGAGCTGCCTCGGATGCGTACTCGGAACAGGCTCCACTTAATTAGGCCACAGGAGCCCCCCTCTCCCAGGCCGAGCACTCTGCCTTCTGGGTCCTGGCTTTGGCTATGCAAACCCCTTCCCCCAATCCCAGGGCTGGTCGTCAGTGGCTCTTCGTAGGGGGGTTGGATGTGATCCCAGACCGGACCTGCTCAGACTCCTATCTGGCCCTGTACCCTTGGGGCTCCCGTCCCTCACCTCCCACTACTGAGCCACAGATCTGGGTCTGGCCTGTGCACCTCAGCCCCGCAGGCCTCGCTCCCTGGCAGGCACCGCAAGCAGCAGGCTCCAGGCTTGCCTGGCCGTGGGCTCACCTCCTCCAGGCGGACTTGGTTCTTGGCCTTGATGAGCTCCTCCTCAGCCTGGCCACGCTCGCTGAGAGCCGCCGCCTTCACCCGGCTCAGCTCCTGCACCACACACAGCGACCCACTGGGCCCGTCCTGCCCTGGCCAGGGACTCGTCTGGGAGTACCGGGGATACCCCTGCTCCAGCCTCCCGAGAGCCTCGCCCACTAGGCAGGGTTGCTATGGCTGAGGGATCCCACACCCCACTACATTAAGTCCCTCTGGCCTCAGGGCTCTTAGTGGGTGGTCCTGATGGGGTTCTGAGACCACAGAAGGGGTGCCCCAGGGAAGGGCAGGGCCTGGCACCCAGCCAGCACATGCTCACCTCCTCCAGGGATAGGCGCGAGGCCTCCAGCCTCTGTACCCTTTCCTGCATGGCCCTCTCACTGTCTTCCAGGTGACGAGTCACGTGTTCCACCTGCCGGGGTGAGGGGGCAGAACAGGCTGGAAGACTAGCTCCCCAGCTTATGTCCCCTCGTGGAACCCCCACCCCGTGGCAGGCGAGTCCTGGGGACACTTTCTTCCCGGAGGAGCTGCTCCTTATCGCTTTGTAGGAAGCAAGGATGGAGGACACATCCCAGAGCCACCCCCAGGTGGCAGCTGGCGCTAGCGTGCTTTCTAGAAGCTGGTCGGGAGTTTCTGGGTCTGTCATCTACTGGGGCTGGCAAAGAGCTACCAGCCAGCGCCCCGAGGCTGTCAGGGGAGCACAGGCAGGGGTGTGCACGGGGGACACCATGCCACCCTGGATGGACAGCAGGGGCAGCAGGGACCGGTGGTGTCATAACAAGCACCTCCTTGGCCCGCAGCTGCTCCAAGTCTTCCAAGCTCTGTCGGGACCGTTTCTTCTCCAATTCCAGACGCTCTGAAAGCCCAGGGGGGAGAGCATGGGTGGGACTCCCCGGGGGGCCCTTGCCCCTGTCCTCCCCTCTCTGGGCTCTCAGCTGTGGGTGGGTGCCCACCCTCGGCCTGGCTGGCCCGCATCTTCAGCTCCGCCGTCACGCTGCTCAGCTCCTGCCGGGCCAGGAACAGCTGCTCCTGCCGAGACCTCACCTTCCGCTCCAGCTCGTCCACCTGGGGAGCCGGCACCATGGACGGGCAGCAGCGGCCCCGGCCCCGGCCCCGGCCCCGCGGCCCCTGCCCCGCGGCCCCTGCCCCGCGGCCCCTGCCCCGAGGCCCCTGCCCCGCAGCCCCTGCCCCCGCCTCCCAGGAGGCCTGGCCCCACAGCCGCATACCTGGTTTCGCAGAAGAAGGTTCTTCTCGTTGGCAGCGGATAAGTCTCTGAGGAGCTTAGACTCCCGCTCTGCTGCCTCCTGCGGGTGACAGGGCACCAGTCACCACTGGCCACACCGGAAGGCATCGCCTGCCCAGTCGCCAACCTTTTCCAGCCCACCCCTCCCTGCTCACCTGCTGCTCTAGCCTGTGCTCCTTCGCCTGTCTCTGCGCCAGGCTCTGCTGCTCTTGCTCTGCGGCAGCCAAGAGCTCCCCCAGGCTCTGGGCCTTCTGCTCGGACAGAGCCCGGGCAGCCTCCGCCATCTGCAGCCTGCAGGGAGGGAAAAGCCAGCCCCCCCGGCTGCACCTGGAGCCTTGCAAAGGCGCCAGCCACTGTTCTCATTCTTGCCTACCACTAGTCAACTCAGCTAGAGCTCGCCTCCTTCAAGAACCCTTCCAGGATTACCAACCAAGTGGTCTCCCACCTCAACTTTGTGCACCGGTGTCTAGGGCTCCTGTGCGTATCACTCTTCTGCCCACCGATCGGTCTCTAAAATGTTCCGGAGCCACCCCTCCCCCACTCTCCTGCCCTCCGCCCCACTTACTTGGCCTTGAGGGCATTGATGACCGAATGTCTCTCATTTAGGGCTTCCTGAAGCTGCTCCACACGTGCGGCCGACGCCCTGTAAGCAGAAAGGAAGGCCCGAGAACCCCACCTCAGAGCACTGCCAGGCCCCCGGGGCTCGGGTACCAGCCGCTGCTTCTCCCGCTTCCACAGCGCTCCAGGTGCGGCGGGGAGGTTCTCAGTGCCGGCCGCAACCCCCCAGCCAGGGTGCTGGGCAAGCACATGCTACCCTCTTGTCGCTGGGCACGTGAGGAACCTCGGGGTCAGTCACCCCAGGAGGCCAGAGTCAGGGCCGAAACGTCAGGTACCCTGCCCCCCTGAGCTGTAGCTCTGTGACCCTGGGGCCGCGCTCACCTGCCGGTCCTGGCCATCTCTTTTCTCTGCTTATCAATCGTCTCCATCAAGTCCAGAAACTGGGGACAGAGCCAGCCAGAGCCCCGTCAGGGCCTGGAGCCTGCTTATCGCCCCAGTCAAGCAGGACGGAGAGCAGACACCCGTGAAAAGCAGCAGAACAGAAAAGCATTCGCCTTGTCTCGGAGGGAGACAGGGCTCCCACACGGGGAGGCCCACCTGCCCACCCACCCGGCCAGAGTCAGACCTAAAGGCTGCCTCTGGGCTGCCTCTCAGGCCTGAGTGCTGGCCACTCAGAGAAGCCCTCGGGCACAGAGGAAGATGGCCACGGCCGGGAACCGAGGCAGGCCCTGCGTCCACGCAGCTTCTGTGGTCAGAAGCTGTCCTTACCTGCCTGGACTTCTCTTCCTGGAGGTGCTGTACCTCCTTGCTGAGCACGTGGGTGCGGGCCTGGTTCTCTCTGGAAGTGGTCTGCCGCTCCCGGTTTCGGTCCATGGCTTGCTCTATGGGAAAGAGCCCAGGGATCCACCGAGGGGGCTGCTTAGCCCTCGGGGTGGCCAAGTTAGCCCAGCCCTGGGCCTGGAAGCCAGTCGTCGGAGAACCAACCCCGTCTGCGGTCTCGCCCCGAGAGTCAGACCGCGCTAGGAGGGGAGGGCTTCTGTAGGGGTAGGGACGGGGCTAATGATGGGCCCGGGAGCCGCGGAGGCACCTGTGCGGGGGAGCATGCACATGGGGAGAGGCGGGGAGACTGCTCAGCTGCCAGACACGGGGTTTTCCTGGGGCATTTGGGCTCCATCCCGAAGGTCAGGGTCCACTGTTCACCTTCTGAGAGGTGAGTGTTGTGCCCAACTCCCGTGTTCTGGAGGGGTTCAGGCAGCGTTTGGAGAGGAGCCCACCAAAAGCTAGGGCACTAGCAGGAGTTAGGGATGACGACACAGGCCGGGCCAGCCCAGCAGGGTTAGGGTTAGGATTCCAGTCCGAGCTCGGGCCCCGGGGTGGCTGGCACTACCAGCAGGACAGTAAGCACACAGAGTGACACAGTGTTCTATTGGGCCTGGGGCTGAGTTGTCGGGGTCTGAGGGGAAGGGACCACGGAGCCAGGGCAGCCCCACACCCACACAGCTCCCACGCACAGCCATGAACTCTGGGGCGTAGGGGCAGATGCCAAGAAGCCCCCTTCCAGCTGTGGCTGGGCCACCAAGGCATGGGCATGGACCTCGGGGCAAGGCCCCAAGCCACGGTGCCTCTGCTTCTTCGTCTGTGCCAGGGGCCCCCGGCGGGGCTGAGGAGGGGTGCACACACTGAGGAGAGCTCAGAGCAGGGCAAGGCAGAGCTCCGCCAGCCTGCCACACCATACCCCTCCCTTGCCCCCTTCTCCCTCCTCTTCCCGTGTCTGAGTTAGGCTGCCTCACGATGCCTGCACACAGCTCTGTCCTGAGCCCCGAGCTGCCCCTCCCGCAGTGGCTGGTGGCCCTGCGCGTACCCACGGCTCTGAGGACGTCCCCTGGGACATTGTTCCCAGCCAGCTCCAGCCTCCACAGGGCTCTGTTGCGGGGCACAGAGTTCACCAGGGCCCGGCCCCCCAGGAGGCCAATGTTATTCCAGCGCAGGTCTGGAAGGAAACCTGCTGTCAACAGACGGAGCGCACCTGGACAGAGCCGGCCCAGCCCGGGATGCTTTCTTTGGGGGAGGGTCCTCCCTGCAGGAGCCCTGCTCAACGGGAACCTCCCCATGACACCTTCCTGCCCCCTTGCTTCCGGAGGACAAAAGCAGCAGCAAGGGAAAGCGGCAGCAGGAAAGCTGAGGGAGCAGCGGCTCGGGCCCCAGACCGCAGGCCTGCCAGAGAAAGCCAGTGCAGGGTGGCCTCACCCAGCTGCTGGAGGCTGGCGTTACAGGTCAGGGCCAAGGCCAGCTCCTCTGCACCCTTGTGGCTGATCTGGTTGTTACGGAGGTCGAGCTGCCGGAGGGTGCCATTGCCTGCCAGGGCCCCGCAGAAGGCGGCAAAGGCATCTTCCCACGTGCCCAGGTTGTTCCACTCGAGGGTGAGGCTGCAGGAAAGGTGGCCGTGAGCTGTGTGGCCCCAAGGAGCACCCTGCGGTCACAGGGACCAGAGGGGAAGTGCAGGCTTTGGGGTCTCGGGCAGAAAGGCTGAAGCCATGTGAGTAACTGATACTTGCCAATTCCCTACTGCTGTACGGGACACCCAGATGACCAGCCTGGAGATGATGCTCTTAGGCTGTAGAATGTGCCCTGAGCCAACCCCGAACCACTCATGGGGGTGGGCGGTGCTGGGGGCCGGCGGAAAGGGCAGGGGCCGGGACCACACTTTACCTCTGAATGGACTTGTTCTGTCGCAGAAGTCGTCCCAGAGCCTCAGTGCCCGCAGCTTGGAGGTTATTGCCCTGGGACAGGAAGAGGCAGGGTGGTTAGCTCTGTGTCGTCACAGGCTGGGCTCTAAATGCCATGTCCACACCCCACAGGGCCCTGGTCAGGCAGCGGATGAGGCCGGGGGACCGCTCCTGGCACCAGGTGCAGCTCCTTACAGGTGCTGCTCTCCTGGGCCGTAGGGGGCCTCCTGGTGCAGGTTCATTGTCTGTTCACATGAACAGTCTGGAACTCACATTCCTGACCTCCAATCACCACCCACCCCATCAAGACCATCAGAAATCCATGTGGAGCCCTGTGTGCCAAGAGTACTTAGAGACACTGTCTCTGGCCACCATCCAGATTTTCAGGCTGCCGGGACACTCAAGTCTCCCCACACCCGCTGCACCCCTACTCCCGGTCTCAAGCAGTACGCCCCCAAGTGCAGACCTGCTCACCTTTAGATCTAGAAACCGCACAATGGTGTTGGCACACAGCCCCTGGAGCAGCAGTGTGGCCCCTGTAAGGGGGTAGGGCTGTCATTCTGTGTCCCTGAGCTCCTCCCTGTGGGCTCCAGCTTGGAGCAGCAACCCAGACGTAGGAGAGAGAGGACTGTCCCAGTGGCCCCCAATGGTCAGGATTCATGCCAGGAATGAGTTGCCCTGCTCACTGCCAGCTTTGAAACGTCTGCAGTCTGTGCTAGGCTCAGAGCCGGGCCACCGGCCGCACGCTCACCAGCACACGGGGCCTCTGCTAAGTCAGGGGAAGGTAAGGTTTTTCTGTTACAAAGAGAAACTGTCCCCTGCTGCCAGGGACGCCGCTGCTGGCTTTAAGTACATACAGTGCAGAAGAACAGAAACCTCTCAAAGGCAAGGTCTGGGGCAAAGGAAGAGCTCTCTGCCACAGGCTGCCAAGGAACGAGGGCCAGGCGCAAACCAGGGCAAGGCCAGGCTGCCACAGCCCAGCCGCGGCTCTCGGTCCGGAGGGCCGCCTGCCCCCGTCCGGGTCGGGTGCCCACCTTCCTCGCTCAGCATGCAGTCGCTCAGGATGAGCTCCGTCAGCAGGGCCTCCTTCTGCAGCAGCTTGCCCAAGGCCCGGCAGGTGTCCACCGTCAGGCTCTGGGTGGCCAGGTCCAGTCGGCCCCGCGGCAGCTCCTGCAGTTTCTGCAGGACAGTCTCCTGGGGCTCGGCCCCGCTCTCCCGGCACAGCCGGCTGTAGCAGTGCCGGAACTCCTCCATGGCACGCTCGTAGGGACGCGCCTCGCCGCGGGCCCGCGGGCACTGCCAGGCCCCCTCCCTAAGGGCCTCTCCCGTGGGGGCCTACGGCGCCGGGCAGCTCAGGGTGGAGCACGAGGGCCCCGAGGTCCTCAGCAGCCGCGCACCGAGGGACCAACCGAACTGGTTCTCCAGGAGGGAGACCCCATGACGGCGGGGGGCCGTGGTGGGCAGGGGGCCGCTCCTGCAGGGAACCGGGGAGGGGGACATCCGCCAGGGGCGGGGATGAGGGCCCCTCGCAGACGGGCTCTCCCGCGGTGGGGCAGGACCCCAGGAACCCAGCCCACGCGCTTCGGACCCTACTCTCCCGCCGCGGGTGCGCGCGGCCGCCGCAAAGCCTCAGTATCCAGGAAGAGCGCGGCGCGCCGGGAAGGGAGGGCGCAAACTGCAACTCCCAGGAGGCTTTGCGTGGGGCGGTGGATGGGAGGGGGGGAAAGCGCGCGTTTCTCGCCGCGGACCAATAGGGACGAAGGGGCGGGCTCGCGCTGCGGGCCTGCGGGGGCGGGGCCGCGGACGGCGCGCTCCGGGCTGATTGGCTAGAGGAGCGGGGGCGGGGCTTCGGCGGGCGCGCTCAGGGCGGACTGGCTGGGGGGCTCCCGGGTTTCTGGAGGGCGCGCCGGGGCGACTGTCATGGAAGGAGCTGGCGGCGGCTTCCGGAAAGTGAGAGGGCGGCGGGGCGGCGGGGCGGCGGGGCGGCGGGGCGGCGGGGCGGCGGGGCGGCGGGGCGGTCGGGCCGGGGGCGGGGCGGGGGGCGCCGCGACCCGGCCCCACGCGGGACTTCCGTTCCCGGAGTCGCGCCCTCGGCCCTCCGCGGGCGGGGTGCTGCGCCCGAGTCTCCCGAGGCCGAGCCGGCGGCCGGGCTTGCGGCGGGGGACGGCGCCTGGGGCTGGCCGTCGGCGCGGCGCGAGTGGCTGCAGGCGGCTGGCTGGTGGCCGCGCTGCCCGCACGTTCTCCGGCTTCCTTTGGGCCTGCGGCCTCCCGCGGGGCCCTGGGCTTCGCGTCCCGCCCGCGCGGGGCGGAAACTGGTCGCTCTGTGTCCCTTCCTGGGGGGCGGGGGGCTCCGCACAGGCCCTCCTGGACACCGCGCGCTGCGGGCCCCGGACACAAGGGTCACCCGGTTCGGACGTGGGTGCAAGAACGGTGCTCCTAGTGGGGAAACTGAGGCAGGCCTAGGTCAGACTCAAACCGTTTCGCTCCGGAGCCTCACCGTTCGCTCTGCCCGGGTGACGCAGCCCTGCGGGCGGCCGGACCGTACGGGGCCCTGCGGGAGGCACCGAGCGGGGCAGCAGGCCGTGAGCCAGGAAGGCCCGGGGCCTGGCTCCTCCAGTGCCGGTGGGAGCCCCTGCCTTAGGGAGAGGCAGGGCTCTGCGGCTCGCCTTGTGCTTCAGGCCTCTCTGCTTTGGCCCCCGGGAGGCGGCTTGGCCCGCAGCGGTCAGCGACTGAAAAGGCAAAGGCACTGAGGCCAGGGTGGCCTGGCAGAGCGGTGGTCGCACGAATCCCCCTGTTGTAACTGCTGGAGAGGGGAGCACCAGCAGACCTGGAGAGCCCTGAGTCCCCACCCCAAGGGCTCTGGCCAGAGATGGGGTGATAATCATTACCCTTGAGGAAAGCTGTCCCAGGTGAGGGCGGAGGGTCAGAGGGGAGCCCAAGGACCTGCAGGCAGCAGGGAGAGGCTGACTGCGTCCGAGGGCCGGTCCTGCCCTCCGCAGCCTGGACTCACTGGCCTGTTTCAGGAACCACCACACACAGCTGGTGCTGGGCTGCCGCGGCCCTGAGGGGTACACTCCCCAGGGTGCAGGGGCAGGCGGGGCGCAGAGCCTCAGAGGCCTTCCCCAGCACCTCCTCAGTGGGCAGCGGCAGGACCAGCAGGTGGCACCAGGCTCTCACGGTCTCTGCTGGGAGGGCGAGGCTGCCTCCGCCTGACCCCGTGGCAAGTTCTACCCTCCTGAGCCCATGGCCTCCGCTCCCTGCCCTGCCCCTCTGCTCTGCTGTCGGAGCTGCACTGGGTGAGGCGGCTACAGCTAGCTACAGCATGGCTACAGCTGGAGCATGGCTAGTCCCCAGCTCACCTTCCCCACACGTCACTTCTGGGCTCCTCCTGCCTCCCCACTGGGGCTGCTGGCTCCTCATTCACGGCCTCTTCTGGCTGGACCCTGCTCTCTGTAACGTCCCTTGGTCCACCCCCAAGTCCTCACCATCCTTCGATCTTCTGGAAGGTTCTCCACTCCAGCCACCTGCGCAGCCGCTCTGCTTGGGGGCGTCACGCGTGTCTTTCACTCAGCATGTTCCAAGCGGAGCTCCTGGCTCCCAGAATCTCTTCCAGCCACAACCCCCAGCTCTGCAGAGTGGTGCTGTCCTCTAGGGGCTCCAGACCCCACCTCGAGGAGTCTGAGCTTGGCCCCACCCTTGTCTGCTCTGGCTCTGCCCGCCATCTTCCTGCATTCACCCTGAGCATCTATCACGGGAGCAGCCCAGCCTCTGCTCAGCTCTGAGCTCCCCACAGTGGCCATCCCAGGCCCACATGGGGGAGACTCCAGGGAGGGACCTCAAAGGTAGCTGACCTGTGCCTAGAGCAGGGTTTGGCACCAGCTAGGTTGTGCTGGTGGTGGGGACACACCTGCCAAAGGGCCCACTTGGGGAGAGCACCTCAGCCCCAGGGGTGGGAGTGCAAGACCACCTGGGATCCTACGAGGACTGGACCCAGAGAGCAGTGGGTGGGCACTTGGGCTGCCCCCGCTTGTTCCCCACCTGTGTCTGACTTGTGATGCTCCTGGAGGCATCAGGGGATCCTCATTGCCCAGTCCCCTGCCCCAGGAGATGGCCTCTCCAGGATCCAGAACTCAGTGCCCATGGGGGTCTGTGGCAGGTTGGGGAGGTGATGGGCCGCTGACCCCCTCTACCCCCCCTTGTCTCCACCCCCCAGGACCTGGTGAGCAAGCTGCTGCGCGTGCACTTCACGGACGGCAAGACCAAAGGTTCGTGACACCAGCTGGCGGGCAGGGCCACACCAGGGAGCTGCCAGGCACCCGTGACCCTGCACTGCAGCTCTGGGGGGGCCGAGGCCTTGGGGACGGCAGAGGGCCACCTGCGTGAGGCGGCGACAAGTCAGGAGTGAGGAAAGCAGGGGAGGGCAGGCCAGCAGGGGAGGGCAGGCCAGCAGGGGAGGGCAGGCCAGCAGGGGAGGGCAGGCCGCAGGTCCAACAACTCGCTCCCCTCCTCCTTGCAGTGGGCGGGGACGCGCTGCAGCTCATGGCAGAGCTGCTGACAATCTTCGTTGTGGGTGAGCTGGGGCCCCCAGAAGACCGGTCCCGACACTGTCCCCTTGTGTTTTCTTGGCGGGGGGGATCCCCACTCACCTCTGACCCATCCTCCCAGCAGTGCTTAAGCTCTGTGTCCGCTAGCTCGGGGTTCTGAGCTGCCAGTCTCCTCCCACCTCTCCCCCTCACCGTCCTCCCATGTGGTGGCAGAAGCGGCTGTCCGCAGTGTCCGGCAGGCCCAGGCAGAAGACCTGGCTCTCGTGGACGTGGACCAGCTGGAGAAGGTGCTGCCTCAGCTGGTAGGTGCCCCAGTGTCCCATCCTGTGTCCCGCCCTCCCGGGAGCAGGGCTGGAGGCACATGGGTTCTGAGTGCTGCTCTCCCCACAGCTTCTGGACTTCTAGGGGCCGCCACCCTCACTGCAGCCTGCTGTCTGAGCTGAGGCAAGGCCCTATGCCCCATTTCTGTGGCCTCTGGCTTCAGACAGGGAAGGAGACGCTGATGCTGGAGAACCCCCTCTCCAGCCCCCAAGACTGAGTCAGGTCCTGGCAAATGCCCCACTCCTCCTGGTGACCTCCTACTGCTGACCGCCTGGACACGGAGACTGGGGGGGGGATCGCCGAGGGGACCCAGGGGTGCGGGTGGCTTCCCCTTACACCCACAGGTGTGAGAGAAGGCAGGTGCCACGAAGCAGCAGGGGCCCGACGCCCCCCCACCCCGGTCAAAGCTCCCATGTGACCGCGTAGCCGTCCGATGCCCTCAGAAGCCGCCTCCCTGAGCTTTCAATAAACCATCAATGAATGCAAGGCATACTCTCGGGCACGCCTCTCTGTGGCTGTCGCCCAAAGTCAAGTTGCTTCAAAGCCTCCTGGGCTGCCTCTGTCCACATGGCTGGAAGGGAAGACTGGCTCAGAGGCAGGCCAACCCAGACTGTACCCGCACACACGTGGCCGCTCGCTGGGAGGACAGTGTGATGGTTCTGCCACGGGATACAAGGCCATGTGGCCGCCACTGGGCCAGAAATGTCGCCATGGGCAGGGCCTGCACGTGGAGACCAGTCAGGAGCTCGGTCCAGGTGGTACAGCGGCCCCTGAAAGTGTGGGGGCCTCTCCGCCCCACAGCACCCGCCTTGCTTTAGCTCGGACACCCACCCGGTATCTGCAGCCAGGACACACAGAGGGGCAGGCAGTCCCCTGGGGAGGACAACAGCCACCCCACCCGCCACAGGGATCAGGAGGGCCCCTGCAGCACCCCCAGGGGCAGCCTGACCCACACCTGAGCAAGGGCATGGCCTGGAGGACAAGCCTGCCCTCCTGGGCTTAGCATGCTGCCCCCCCCAGCTCTCCTCCCCCCGCCCCTCCTCGGGGAGTCTCAGGGCTTCAGAGTGCTGGGAGCGTGAGGCAGTGATCAGACCTGAAGGGAAAGCCGGCAAGAACCTGCGCCCCACAGCCACTGAGAAGTGCCTCGGATCGGGGGCGCAGGGGCCACCAGCCTGCCCTCCCCAAGTGCCCCCAGTCCCTCTGGTCCCAGTGCCCTCACCTAGGGCGGCCCTGCCTACATGCAGCCCGGCTTGGGGCCTTTCTCCCGGCCTTCCTTGCACTCCCGGTAACTCCCAGTGTCAACTAGGTAAAGTTAGCGGCTTAGTGGGGACGCCTGTGCCTTTGTTCCCAAGCACGAGAACTCAGCACACAGCACCATCCAGACCAGAGGCAGGACCAATGGGCCCAGGGGACAGCGGGGACCTTTCCTGGAGAAAGGACCACAGGAGGGTCTCGAGAGCAGCTCACACCTTTATTCCCGCTCAGGGTGGGGAGGGGTCCCGCGGCTGGCACACAGGGCACGTCCAGGCTGGTGGCGCTCACCTCTTGCTGGCTGCAATTCGAGCACCAGGATGACCGGTGGGTCCCCAAGAGGTGGCCCTCCCTCCCTCCCTGCAGTGCCCCTGCTACGCTACCTGGCAGCTTCAGCCACTTGGGGACCTTCCCCAGATCCCTCCTGACTGGCTGGGCCGCTCCAGGGCTGGGTTCAGACAGGCCCACTGCCCCTGCCTCGGCCGCTGGCTCTGACTCAAGGGGCGCAGGGTCAGGGGCTGGCATCGGGGGTGGGGTTCCAGAAGCCCTGGACATGCACCTGTGGGCAAAAGGCCGGGGTACAGGATGGCTGGCATGCTAGGGCAGGGCCTCTCTGCTCCCCACTGCGGGCGCTCACCTGGCCACCAGCATGTCAGCTGCAGATGGGGAGACCGTGTGTTCCAACAGCCGAGGCTCCAGGAAGAGGCCTGCAGGACATGGAGCCCACCCTCAGGCCACAGAGACGGCCTCCCCACCACTGCTCTGCTCCAGGAGGGGATGGGGCCCAGGCAGGTGGCTGTCCTGGGAATAGGGTATCAGGCATGGGTCTCCCTCCCAGACTGGAAGGAAATCCCCTACTCTGGGGCATATGATGAGCCAGGACACTGGGCTCAGGGCTGGCCAGCCACGGTGGGCAAAGAGAAGGACCCCCACCCACCGGTTGGTTCCTCCGCTCCGAAGTGCACGAGGGCCGCAGGGAAGAGATCTGCCTGTAGGGAGAACGGGAGGCAGCTCAGGGCCCCAGGCGGGACCGTAGGTAAGCAGAAAGTCCACAGGGGATGGACAGGGTGGGCTGCACCCCTCTTTTGTGGTGGCCTCTAGGGCCACGTGTGAAGCTTGGGGCATTCACCGGGACCAGCGCTCCACTGAGGGTCACAGTCCCAGCCAGGTCCCCCCAGCTAGAGCAGCCTGCCCCAGTGGCAGCCAGGCCAGCTGGGAGACCACAGGGGTCCCTCTGGGGGCCAGCGCCAAGCACCACACAACAGGAAGCTTTTGGAACGTGTGCGCACTGCCTTCCGACGAGCTACTCTCCTGCCCTCCTGGTTCCTGGGGGAACCGGGCCTGGAAGCCCCCACCCTCAGCAGACACTGCAGAGGAGACGAAGGCGGACGCAGCGATGTGGGTGGGGGTGTGGAAAGGAAGACAGGGCAGCGTGGATCAAAGAACAGAGCATGGGGGTCTGCAGCTGCGGCCAGATGGGCTGCCTCAGGCTCAGGGCAAGTGACCAGACCTGCAGACAGCAGGGACCCTTGGCTGGCCCAGGCCCAGGCCTGGGGAGTGGGGGTGCTCCTGGAGCCAAGGGGCTTTAGAGTCCTGGGCAGGCAGGTGCTGCCCTGGTCAGCTAGCTCTGAGAGTTCGCCACCCAAGGCCCCAGAAGCCCACAGAGGAGTTCCCTGACTGCACTCCGGGCTTTGACCCGGTAGGAAGAGCTGGGGCCAGGCAGCGAGCAGCCCCGTCCACAGGAAATGCGCTGCTGCTGGGGGGGAGCCCACACCCCGTGCCGTCAGGGGCCTGGGCACTGCCTCTCCTGAGTCTCCTTCCCTGGAGGTAGTGGTGCCCAGTTCCTGCTCAGGGTGGGTCAAGGATGACGTGCCCCTAGGACACAGCAGGGGGCTAAACTCAAGGCTGCAGGCAGGGGGCCCCAGAGGCCACCACTCGTGTCTGTACCTGAGGGGGCTGGGGCTGCAAACCCTAACGCTGGCCAGAGGACCCTTGTCCTCGCCCTCAGTGGAAGGGGCAGCCACCAGGTGAACCCTTCCCCTCCGCTCTCTTAGAGAAGCTTCCAAGGCCAAGCCTAGGAACATGGGACCAAAGCCAAGGGCGGGCCAGGTCAGAAAACCCCACAGCCTGTTCTGACACCAGATCAAAGCCTTGTTCAGAGGCACTGCCGGCACCAGGGCCCTGGAGGCACCAGAAGCCAGGGAGCAGGAGGGGGACACGGGGACCGAGTGCCCAGCCCTCAGCTGACCCTCCCGGTACTGTGGCCATTCTCAGTGAGTATGAGAACGTTACGTCTGGCAGTGGAGCCTGCGGCTGTAGGGCTTCAAGCCTCGAAGGGCCCCACTGACCAGCCAGGAGTCCTCCAGGGACCCTGGGGCGCCTTCTCCTGACCCCAGCCTCCCAATAGAACAACCCCACTCGCTTGCTGATCCCTTTGGGATTCCCACCCAATAAGGGGTGATCACACAGCATGGGAGACCACCGTGACCATCAGGAGGGAGACCCTACCCTCCTGTTCAGGCCGAGGTGGCCTGCACAGGTCATGGCCGTCTTCAGGACCTGCTAAGGCTGACCCTGGACCCCACACGAGGCTGAGAGCAAGGGGGTCTGCGGGGCTCAGGACAACACCAGCACTGGCGGCAGATCGGACGGGCCCCGGGGGCTCCTGTGCCTGCCAGCAGCACCCCCACCTCCTCCCACACCCCTGTCCGCAGCCCCACCTTCCCCAGAACTCCCTCTCCTGGCCCAGTGGCCAAAAGGGGCAGCTGGGCCCCCATCCCTCACACCTACCCCAGGCTGTCACTCTCTGGAGCTCAGGACCGGCCCCCCGGCAGCCTCCCTCCCAGGCAGCCAGCAGCCAGAGCACAGCCCTGCCAGGGACATGAAAGCGGGCGGCTTCCACACCCACGCCTGCTCAGCCACACAAGGGAGGAAGGCTTCCTTCCCCGAGCCCTGCCAGCTCTCTGATCGCAGGCAGGCGGGGACGCCACCCTGCACAGAGGCCCCCGCCGCTCCAGGCGGAGCTGACAGATGAAAGGAGACAGCTGCTGGTAGCTGGGGGCAGAGTGTCACCAGGAATCAGGCTGCTGGGGCAGGAGGACAGGCAGCACCCCAGGGCTCCTCGTCAGGGCGGGACTGGGCACCAGTCCCTCTCCATCCCACAGCATCTCCTCAATGCAATGTTTATCAACAGGCCGGCCAGCGAGGAAGGGCGGGAGGAGGTGGGGCGGGATGGAGGAAGAGGCCCAGCGCCTCTGGGGCTCCTGGGGGCTGAGAAGGGGCAACTGGGGGGGTGGGGGGCAGCGCCCTGCTCCCGCCCCCCAGACTCCGTCCCTTGGTGAGCTTCCAGCCTCTGCGGGGTCTTGCCCCAAGTCCCCCACAAAGGTGGCGGCCCCAGGCAATAGGCAGATCCCCCTGCCCCAGCTCAGACCTCTGCAGGGCCTGCCAGCCACTTAACAAGGCCGGGCCTCTGGTACTAATTAAAATATCTGAGAAGACTTTGAAGGGAAACCATTAGGCCAGAGGGCTGGGGAGGCCCCAGGCGACCCTCCCAGGAGCAAAGGGACAGGACATTCTGCCTGATTCTGGAAGGCAGCCCCCAGGGGAGCACACAGAGGCACCTCACGGCACCTTCAGGGGCTCTGGGGGCGACAGGGAGTGTCGGGCAGAAGCAGACTCTAGTGGGGAGGGCGCAGCGCATATTCCCGGCAGAGGCCTCGGGGTGCAGGGGAGAGGTGAGGCAGGGAAGCAGGCGGGGCAGCAGTCGCTGCAGCCTGGGGCCAAACCAGCCTGACAACCGCCACCCCAAGGTCCTGCAGGCAGCCAGCCACCTGCAGGAGAGGCCTCTGACCCCGCCCTCGGGGGGGCCCCTCTCACCCAGACTCCAGGCCAGGGAGACCCCGGCTCAGGAAGGCTGTCAGCCGGCTGGGCAGGCCCCTCCCCGCCGGGGCAGGAAGCGAGGAGGCTGGAAAGCCCCAGCACCAGCCTCAGAGGTGCTCTGTGCCCCCGCACACCCCACCCCACCCCCCTGCCCCGTCCACCCGGCTACAAGGCGTCATTATCCTTCTGGCCGAGGCTCGCCCTCCAGAGCCAGGCCAGCGGCACCTGCACCCCCAGCCCCTGCAGCCCACCAGAGGGCCGGTACCTGAAAGAGGGTCAGCGTGGGGTCATCCAGGACAGTTTTTGGAGGAGTGATGACTGCAAAGAGAGAGTTGTCTGGGCCAGGAAGCCTTGCCCCCCAGCCCCTTGCCCACACTCCCCAGGGACACAGGCCTGAGGGGGAGGGGGAGGCCCAGAGCCCACGGCCTCAGCTGGGGTATTTCCAAGGGGCCCCCTCACCTCACAGCCCTCTGCCCACCTCTCCGCTGCAGCAAAAACCCTGGCAGGGGGCTCAGGAGTTTGGTGGTCTGGGACCAAGGAACCCCGGCCCCACACAGTTCCCCGCAAAGACGGGCAGCCTGACTCCTCCCTCCCCAGATGCCCTTGGAGGGAGAAGCTCCCAGAAGCCCGGGAGAAGGAGGCAAGGTTGGAGGCAAAGGGTGCAGGGATTCTGAGGTGGGGCAAAGACCAAGCTCCCTTCCCAGCTCCTCGGTACTTGGACTTGTCCTCAGATGCCAGTGGGGCTCCCACGGTTGGGACCAGCCCACCCCCACCATGTTGTTTCTAGGGAACGAGCTGCTTTGAGCCCCAGCTGGGAGAGGCCAGGGGTCACTGGCACCCAGACCCTCCCGGCTGCATGCAGGAGGACTGGGGAACTCACACAGGTAGAAGGGCAGCTCGGGGTCCCCCAGGTGGCTCCTCACAAAGGCCCGTAGATCCCCCACTGGAGGAGAGAGCGCAGGGTGAGCGGACAGCTCCACGGGAGGACACGGGCCACCCCAAGCCCACCCCAGGGCCGGCCCCCTCCCAGGACGGGACCAGCCGGGCCCCACGCCACACAGACCCCCATGACCCTACGGGCGCAGGAGGCCCGGCAGCGCGCCATCTCCGCCTCAGGTGGGCCACGACCCCGCTCCCACCCTCAAGCCAGACCGAGGGTCCGGGGCTGGAACCCCAAGCTCATCCCTTCTGCAGTCCTCTGAGACACCCGCCTGGCCAGGCCCCGGCCCGGCTGGAGTCTCCCTCCCTTTGTCTCTTACCCTGCCCGCGATCCAATCCTAAACTCTGCCCTGGGAGGGCCCTTGCTGTCTTGGCTTCACTGAACACCTCACTCAGAACTCGTGACACTGCTGTGTGCACTCCGGGCGGCAGCCCCAAGCCGGGGACCCCTGCTGCTGGGGGTGCCGGGCCCACCCATCCTCTGGGTACTCCTGTCTCACCCGCACCCTGAACAGGCTGCCGCAGGGGGCACCCCAGCCCCGTGCCCACCCCGACACGCTCTGCAAGCTCACGGCCCGTCCCACAGACAGCAACGAAGTCAGAAACACCCATGACCCCCGACGGCCCGGCACCTGCAGCCCCGTGGTCGGGAAGAGAAGCCCGGTGGAGCCGCTCACCTGTCTCGCTGGGGCGGAAGAAGCCTTGCAGGATGTAGCGGTCAGGAAACAGGACCCTCAGGACCACCTGGGCCACGAGGATGCCACACGTCAGCAGGAACAGCCGAAACCCAGACCGTGGCCCCCTCAGGCCCACGACGGCCAGGTCCCCCAAACCCAGCCAGAAGACGCCGGGGCTGGGGCAGGCAGGAGGACCGGCCACCCGGCCCCAGCCACCGCAGGCCTGCTCCTGGCCTGCCCGCCCCTGCCTGCCCGACACGAGGGGCTGCTCGAGCACCACCGTGCGTATTTGTAAAGACACATCGATGCCGCTTTCCGTCGTACAACGAGGCAGGATGGTCATAACGCACGGCCGTGCAGACCTCACGGGAAGTGTGGGGGACCCCAGCCGAGGGCGCGGGGACGGGGCCCACATTCCAGCAGGACACATGCCCAGACGCTCTCCCCACTTCTCCATGCCTTAGGGTAGCGCTCCAGCTTCTCCCTCCTCTGGGCCTCCCTGAAGGCCTTGGTCACCAAGGGTGCTTCTTCCAGACGCTTCCTGCAGGGGGAGGGGGTGGGAGCGTGAAAGTCTGGGGTCTCCAGGCCCAACCCGAGCAGAGGCCCCACACACCCACCCGGGCTCCGTGGGCCACCCCGCCACATAGGGACGGATGAGACAGGGGGACGAGGGGCCTGTCTGGAACCCCTGACCCTCAGACGTGCTACTGAGGACGCGGGAGCAAGGAGACGACGGAAATGCCAGTGGCACACCCACCGCTCACTCTTGAGCTGGGCCAAGCGTCTCCTCACGTCGTCCACAGTCACTTCAAAGAACTCGTCCGGCAGCTCTGCAGGCCAGGCCTGGAGCAGCTCCTCCAGGTCGGGGTGGCACACCACGGGGTCGCGATCCACTGGCTGGAGGGCAGAGGGCTCAGCTGACACAGGGCCCCTGGGCCTCACAGCTGCAGTAGCCACACAGACCCCTGAGCCAAGCGCGTACCTCACTGGCCACCCACGGGCCAAGACTGGACACCCTCCTTCCATGCCTCCTGCTCAGCCCCACGGACACAGAGACCCTCACTTGCCGGCAGGGCATGGACCCCTGGACGTGGCCCAGCCAGGCCCAGCCAGCCAGGTCCCCTCGCTACTGGGGGGCTCCAGGAGTGGACTGAGGGGCCAGCCTCCCCCAGCAGCTCCTGTGCTCACTCCGTCTCCAGGAGGGCCTCCCACTAAGAGGCGGAGGGAGCTGCCTGTTACCAGGGTCCCCCAACAGAGACAAACTCGGGGAGCAGCACCCTGCTGGAGGCCACACTGGGGCTCCCCAGGAGGGCAGGGGAAGCAATAGCCCCCAGATTAGAGCTTTGGCAGAAACCTGCCCCACAGCTGAGCTGCCCCAGCCAACCCTGTGACCACCCTGAGGACACAGAAAGGGACGCATCACTCCTAACTAGCAGTAACGATGATGAAGATGAGAGGAATCGTGAGGCAGGACTTGCTTGGCCCAAGGCGCCACCATGAGCCCCACGACCACAGGGTGGGACACCTCTAGGCACCAAGGCTGCCATGGGGCTGGGCCTGACCAGGCTGAGAAGTTCCAGCCCAGGAGGCCACCTTCTGCCCTCCGCCGCCTCCTCTCTGTACCAGGCTGTGGGCCCGGCAGGCTCTGGGAGCACCCATCCCCAGCCGACCCTCCCTCTAGCCATCCCCGCAGCCCGTCCTGCCCTGCAGCCCAGGCTCACCACCCTGGGGACTGACACACCTGGCGGGGTCTCCAGTGCTATCCCCCAGCCACACCCGAGGCCTTGACCGTCTACCCCAGCAGGCCTGAGGTCCCTGCAGTCCGGCCAGCGCCCAGCAGTCCCAGGCCTCACGAGGCAGCCCTCCCCCTGTGAAGGGAGGTAGGTTCTCACCAGGAAGCCCTCTGACCCGGAGGCACAGGGCAGAGCAGCTGCAAAGGGCTGGCCTCAGCTCCGGCCACAGGGCCCCGTAGGTGGCTGGCTGAGGCCCCCGGGGGCTGCCCGCGCGCAGCCACAAGGATCCTGCGCTGCCGCGGGCAGTCTACACCAGAGCCTTTTGTAACAAGATGCCAGGCGCCAGGCTGCCCCCCACAGCCACGGCGCCTGCATTCCAGAAGGGCCAAGAGCTGGCCTGGGCGCCTGGGGCGGGCTGCTGGGGGGAGCGAGGGCAGGACGCGGATGCGCCCAGGCTGGGAGCCGGAGCCACCGCGTTCGCTCAAGCACGAAGCCTGCAGGCTAACGCCCGGCTCGAAGGCCACCCTGTCACGGTCTCCCGCTGGGAGGACCCACCACAGGCGCACGAGTCGCCCTGAGAACCCAGCCGTCTGGTGGCGTGCGGTCCGTGGCACGGAAGGGAATCTGTGTGCTCAGACCTGGCCGGCAAAGCCAGTCCCAGGGAGCCCTGCCCACTGGTTCTCATGGTCCTCTTGGGCACTCCAGGGCCTGACCTCGGGTGGCCAGGACCGCGGGCTGCCAGCAGTGCTGGTGACCCCAAGGCCCATGGCCCGCTCCCCAGACCACTTCCAGAACGGGGGAAGGGACGCCAGCAACTGGCTGCATGCTGCTCAGGAGCCATGGACTCTCGGTCACAAAACAAAATGGACAAAATTCTTCTGGGTTTTAGATCTACTTTTGGTTCCTTCTCTCCTCCCGCCTCTCACTCTGCTCCAGAAACCTGTCTGTCACACAGAAGCTGGGAGCCAGGCCCCATGCAGGAACCAGAGGGCTGGGAAAGAGCCACCAGCAGAGCCCAGGGCCAGACCTCCTGACGTCCTGGCCCCAGGCAGGCCCTGCCCCACAGGAACAGACTGAAGCCCACGGCTGGGCTGCTAGGAAGGACCACCCAACTGCTCAGTGACGGAGAGAGGGGCCAGGCAGCTTCAGACACCTCTGCCTGGCCGTGCCCTGGAGAGCATTTCCCGGTGGAGAAGAGGGGCTGGGCTGGGGACGGGGAGGGAGCCAGGGAGGCTGGGGCCCAGCAGCCGCTAGGCTGAGCCCTGGTCCTGCTCCCGCCCGAGGCTCTGCCAGCAAACCACCCTCCTCCGCGGTTCCTTCTCCCGCCGTGCCCCGTCCCAGCAGTCACTCCGCATGGCCCCTGTCCTGGGCGGGTTCGGGGAGAGGTTTGTGGACGGAGAACAAAGCTCTAGGAGACACCTTGGGGAAAGAGAGCACATGTGGTGGCCGCCGTGAGGGAAAGCCATGGCGGAACGGAGGATGGAGGGACAGAGAGTGAGCAGGACGTCAACGGCCTTGATGCTGCCTACAAAGCGGGTGACACTGGCCAGAGCAAAGGAGGCACATGAGAGGGGCAGGAGCACGCTCTGCGGGGGACAATGGCCCAAGGCTGGACAGACACTGGACAGACACACAGCCCATTCGGAGGTGGGGACGCAGTGACCAACCGCCAGCCTGGCCGGCCTGCGGACATGCCCTGCTTCGCCAGGACGGGACGCAGGAGGGAAACCACAGGGGGCGGCCGTGGCCCCGCGCCAGGCTTAGTGCGGGCGAAGGTAAGGCCCGGCCCAGGGTGGAGAGCCGGCAGGGCCGGGCAAGCTGGGCTCTGGGCTGACACCCTCCGGCAGTGGCCGAGTGGCCCCGGGCACCCCAGGCCCCTTCTGCCGGAAGCAGCCTCGCGGCTGCTGAGGCTCACTTTCTTGACAGTAATTTTCCGGGACGTGATGACACACAGAGAAAAAAATGTAAAAGGGACTTGGGGGTGACCTCAACCTCCGATTTTCCAACGTTCCTGTGAGGGCTCCTGTTTGCCTCCCCCAATCCCAGCCCAGACCGTCCTCTGACAATGGTCTTTGGTCAAAGGGAATGTGAAGCGTTTCCCCTTGAGGCTTGGAGACTAAATGAATCCGGACACAAGGGCCGCAGGCCAAACCTCCGGAGTTACTCACCGAGCCGGCGCCCTGCGTCCTCCGCGGGGCTGAGCCAGAGGGCGAGGCCAGGCCGCACCGGCGACTACCGGGAAGGCCGGGCAGAGGAAACGGGAGGACGGGGCAGCCGCGCACCAGCCGAGGCCCCCACACGCCCAAGCGTGACCTGACCACCGCCCCTGCAGGCGAGCCATGGGAGCCCCCAAAGAACTGAAACGAGCGAACGCAGCTGGGGCGTGGGTCTCCCGGTGAAGACACACGCGCGAGGTCAGCCAGCCACCGACGGGAGAACACCCAAGTGGCGGAGCAGTGCTGGGCAGCCCACAAGTCCCATCAGGGTGGGGGCCCGAAGACAGAGCCCTCGGGCCCCGCCCAGCCCTACCCAGGAGTCCAGAGCACCTCTCCCCGAAATCCGGCCGTGGCAGAGACGGCTGGAGGGCACCTTTCGGGCCACGACCTATCTGCCCTCGGCCTCAGCGGCATCCAGACTACCTGGGTCCCTGGGGACGGCCCGAAACAGCGCATATGACAAGGACACGCTCAAACCCTGCCCTGGACCCACACACAGGGGACAGTAGGGTGTGCTCACAGGAGGGCGCTAGAAGGTGCCTCAGGACAAGAGGAAGAGGGCAGCGAGGGGCACCATTCACGGTCACTCTGACCCCCAGGTCCTGGCCAGGCTCCTCCCACCCTCACATGTCCTAAACCTGCCCACAAACCAGGCACAGGAGTGGCCAGAGACCGGGCTGACACCTGCCTACAGGCAGGGCACCGAGAAAGTCCCAGGCCCATCTCTGAGGGGCAGACCAAGCCCAGCAGGGTGAGGGGCAGGCCGGGGAGACTGCCGTCAGCCGCCTGCCCTGCCATGGGCATCAGGGCCTTTGATCAGAGACCCCCATACCGTCTGGGGGGCTGGGGAGGGGGCCCAGCTGCGCACAGGGCTGCGGGGCGGCCTCCCGGGCCGGCAGAAGGACTTCAAAGGACAGGCCAGGGGCCGCCGGGCAGCCCCCGCCTCTCCCCGCAACCCTCTCTGACGGCCAGTAAAACTACCTTCTAATAATTAACGCTTTGACATCAAAGGCAAGAGCCGTCCGGGTCTGTAAACCATCCCAGTTCTCAGCCGAGGACCTGCCTATATTTTATCCTGTCTCTTCTGACTCTTTATTTAAATCCAAAACCACACACAGGCAAAACATTAATGGGAAACTCGGAAACTCCTTTTGATTACCAAAGTGTACCTTTGAAGTTCCCCCAAAAGTTCCGTTTTGTTCCCTTCTTCCCGCCCCCGGGGGGGCTGAAAAGGGACACAAAGCAGACACCATGTGGCTGGCCAGCCCTCCGGGTGTGGGGCTGTTAGTGACAGGAGGCACGAGGCAGGCGGGCGGGGGGGTGCTCCACAACCCACCAGCTGCTGGGACGTCCAGATCAAAGGCACATGCTGCTGCTGGCCGGGCAGCCCCTCCCTGGGACCTCTCCCACCCGGGGGGCCACGGGTTCAGAGCCTGGGGACGCCCGGGGATCCCAGGCCCAGACAGGAACCACCTACGGGAGAGCGCAGCCCAGAGCCCCACCCCCACCCCCGATGTCCACAGGGCCCTCTGCAGCTTCCCAAGGGATTCGCAGAGCCGTGGCCCGACGGGGCCAGCAACCCACCAGCCATGTGCCCTGTGTCTTCAGGGTGGGAGAAGGGCCAGCCAGCCCTGGCCCCAAGCTCCAGCCCCCAAACACAGGGGTCCCCAGGAAGAGCTAGCCCGGACAGAGTCAGACCCCAACCACACAGGTCTGCTTTCAGCCACTGATTCCGGGTCCAGGTCCCAAACGGCATGAGAGCGGGGACTTTGGATGAGTCCCTCACACAGCCCCACCACTGTCTCCCCAGGACAGACCATCATGACACTTGGGACTGGCTCGCTCCCCCACCCCATCCACTTAGCCCACCAAGGGTATCCGGCGAGGGAGCAGGAAAAGGCCCTCTGAAAGGACGTGGGCTCTGTCCCACGGCCGGGCCTTCCCCACCCGCCACCCCCTAAGGTCCCTGGGCCCCAGACCCTCCAGCCTCCCCAGATGTGCAACCTGGAAGCCAGAAGGACCCCAGGAGAGACAGGACGCCAGCGGGTGTGTCTCCGCACCAAGAACAGGCTGCTCCCCTCATGAACGGAGCTCAGCTAAAACATTAGCTCTGACCCCCAGAGAAACCGTTCCCAGACAGACGGCGCCCAAACAGGATGGCTCCCTGGGAGACCGGGACGGCGCGACAGGGGGCAGTCCACCCAAAACCTCAGCAGATGCGTGAACTGCAGGCAAGGAGGCCTGCCCGGCACGCCCACTGGCTCCCAGCAGGACACAGCCCACCGGACGCAGGGACGCGGGCTCAGGAACACAGACGGCGTGGGACAAGCGAGGCCAGAGCCGCCTGCAAGTCCGAAGCCAGTCAACAGGCAGGCCCAGGCACATGGGGAGCCGGCGGCGGCTCCGGGACACCGCCTGGGACAGGAGTGTTCAGAGCAACACTGATGCTCGAGGCCGCCCCCTCCCGGCGTGACCACGCTTGCGGGGACAACCCCATCACACGCCCACCTACAATGCGGCCTCTACAAGATCCAGGCTGACAATCAGTTCCCAGAGAAGACACGTGCCCATCGCCCTGCCACACCCCCAGGCTAACCGAGGTCCGGAGGAAGGACCCCCAGCACCCAGCCTGCTTCTTACCGGCTCTGCCTCTGGCCGGGGCTCCTGGCCAGGCCTCGACTTCTTTGGCTTGGACGGGCCTCCGGGGCTGGAGAAGGACTTAGGCAGTTTGGCTGAAGGCGACATCAGAGACCTGGCCAAGCCAGAGGGGCCCCCCAGTCGCTGCCCCCCACCTGAGAAAGGAACAAAGGGGGCGGGGGCGGGCTCCTTGGAGATCTGCTTGGCTGGAGCGTCCACACGGCCGGCCCCTGAGATGTCTGCTTCGTCCTGATGGCTCACATCCCCCCGGCTGAGCCCCGCTGAATCCAGCGGGCGCAGAGGGCTGCCAGCAGCCTGGTCAGCCGACAGCGAGATGGTCGGGCTTCCCGGGGCTTTGCTCCGTGAAACCCCAGCAGAGCTGCATCGCTTCATGGCAAACCTGAGGGTGCAGACCCGGAGAGCGAGTGAACTGCCACACGGAGCACCCCTGCCTGGGTCTCCCGACCCCGCACGTGACCCTCTGGCCCCCCGAAGGCGCTGCCAGCCCCTGCCCCCCAAGCCAGCCGCTGCCGCACAGACCCCCGGGGAATGGGCAGCCATCAGGCCAGGGCCCCAGATCGAGGGGACAGGGCCACAGTGGGGGGGTGCACATTTTCTCTGCCACTCTTCCCTGTTTGCCACTCGACGGGACTCTGAGGCCCCCCACCTGATGATGGCGCTGCCCCCTGTGAGGCCAAGGGACTTGAGTGTCGTGGCCTGCAAGGAGGCTCTGCCAGTCACCTGTGAGGAGGGAACAGGACACACGGCTGACCCCTCGTGGACAGCATCCCCCACCCGGCTGCCCAGGACAAGGGCACCTCCCGCTGGCTCCCTCCACCTACTCGGTCACCACTGGCCCCACAGGGGCTCCCAGCCAGCCCCTGGGGGACACCAGCTCCCAGCAGGCTTGGGTCCCGCTTCCTGAAGCCCGACCAGTCCCCGAGCGTTTGCTGGCTGGTCGGCAGCCGCCTCCCCGCCCTCACCCCAGCTGTGGTCCGGGCAGGCACGGCTCAGGCCCGAGTTAGCTACATGTGGCCTGCTGGCCACCTCTGCGGGCTGACCCAACCATAAGGGCCTCCATCCAGGCCGAGGTGCCCGAGGTCCAGCGCCTGTCTCCTCTGGGGAAGATGTGTCCCCCTGCACCCCCCACAGACAGCCCTGGGACCCCTGCCCCTCATAGGCCGTGCTGGGGAACCTTGAGTGGGGATGGGCAGGGGAGCAGATCCCATCCACACCAGGGCCCCTCGGGGACAGCGGCCACCCAGGGCCAGGGAAGGATGCTTGGCCAGGGTCAGAACAAAAAGCCCCTGTGAGCCAGGGGACCCAGCGCCAGGAGGGTCGCCCGTCACAGGCAGGCGGGGACGGACTACACCCGCACCGTGCTGCACTCAGTTTTGAAAAAGATCAAAACAAGGAGCAGAGCAAATATTTATTAAAATGAAACCACTTTTGTGACTCTCAGGCTCTGAGAGACGCCGGGAAAACAAACAACGCGTCGGGGAGGTTTGGGGAGCGGCCCGGGCGGCCCGCGGTTAGCGCCAACGGAGCCGGCACTCTGCTTTTTTCCATGAAACACATCACGCTTTCAGAGCCTGTCTCCCAGGCCGCTGCTTTGAAGGCCGGTCTGAGAGAGTGAATTTTCCAGATTGGAAAGCAGGGCCGGGCTGTGTGGTGACTTGGGGGCGGGCGTTGGGGCCGGGCCGGGCAGGCGGGCTGGGCCGCTCACCTACCTCATCCCTCATGTACACACAGACCGGGCTGGCCTCGCTCGGCTGCTCCAGGCACTCCCTGCGGGGGGAGCAGAGGAAAGCTCACAGGCCAGCCGTGGGAGCCCCCCACCCCGGAGCACCCCCAGGGCAGCCCGGCAGGACAGTGCGGCTAGGTCCACTCTGGCCCCCTCAAGGCCACCAGGAGGAGACAGCTAGCCGCTGGTGGGGAGCCACCTGCCCGAAGGCCCTGGGGGTGTTTCCCAGCTCCCGGCTCAGAAGAGACCGGCCACCTGCCAGACACATCTGGGCTCACGGTCCGCGAGGGGCTCATGGTCCACTGCGGGGGGTCAACTATGAGAAAGAAGCCCGGAGCTCTGGGCTTCTACCGCAAGCCATGCCCCAAGAGCGCTGCTGACCCCCGAAGGGCCGGGAGCAGCTCGGGGCTGGCACCCATCAAGTGGACTCCAGAGAGAGGCCACAAGCACGTGAACCCAGGTCCGGGCCAGGGGCAGAGAGCACTGGTCTTCGAGCTGCATGCGGGCACGTCGGCCCGCGGCCTGCACCCAGGGCACCCACTGCCATCCTGCACGCAGCCGGGATGCAGGATGGCAGTGATGTCCCCCAGCATCAGACCCTCACGCCCAGGTGGCCAAGCAGCATAAGGCAGAGGGCTCCCTACCGCCGCCCAAACCCGCGTCACCGAGAAGCCGTCAAAGCAGAGACTGTGGCGGGCATGGGTGTCAGCGTGGCCGTGCGTACACCCCAGCCGCCGTCACGCACAGGCTGGGCACCAGGGCAACACGGGGGCAGACGGACCAGAAACCACGAACGCTCCACATGCTCCACACAGATGGCAGCGGGCGTCCTCCCCTCGTAAGCGGGACCCCCAGGCAGAAGGAAAGAGCCCCCCAGAGAGGCAGCTGGAGAGACAGGCGTGCGGGTGTACACGCATGTGTGCACACACACACACGCACACACCTGCCCCCAGACATGCCTGTGCAACACGGGACCCCAACTCCTGCGGCGTGGCCCCACGCTGACCGTGAGGTTCCCGGGTGCAGGCCACCCGAGGCCTGGCTTTGGCCCTTCAACTGCTGGTGCCAGAGCAAGAGGACATTCCCATCTGGGTTTCCTATCACATCGCTGCAACATCGGGCCCCGCAAACGCCAGTTCAAGACCACACCTACAGTGCCCCATCTGGTCCCCTCCTCCAAGCAGGGCTGGCTGGAGTGGGAGGCCGGGAGTGACGGCAGGCCACGCAGTGAGGCCCCACCAGCGCCCGGAGCTCAACACGCAGACATGACCAGACCAGAAGACCGGCAGCTGAGCTAGAGACCAGAAGCAACCGGGCCCCCAGCTGCCCATGGACACTCCGGATGTACCCCGGCCCCGAGACCTGGGATCCAATCCCTGGCCTGACTCAGCGTGGTGTTTCTCCTCTTTCTCCTGTTTGCTTCCAGGCTCTGCGTTTGCTGCCCAGAGCAGAGAACCCCAATCCAGAGCCAGCTACTGCGACCCGCGAGGGAGGGGCGGCCCTGCTCCCACCCCAGCCCGGCCAGCCCTGCTGCCTCCCACCAACCCCCCAGGGAAGGTGGGGGCCCCTCGGCTAACAGCCCCCCGTGGAGCTCACCCCATGCTCTGCTCACACCCGTGCCTACAATGCAGCTGCCCCCAGGCAAGGCTGCCGGCATGCACCAGAGCAAAGCAGGGGGGCTGGCCACGGGAAGGGTGATCTTGCAGGCACAGCGGGGCCAGGGGTGCCCACCAAGACCACAGGCCTCAGGAAAACAGAGGACCCCAAAAGGGATCCCCAGCCCACACACTCTTCTTACTGAAGACCAGACAGAGGAAAAGTGAAGGGACCTCAGCCGACGGAGATGTGCCCAGCCAACAAGGTCCTGGGGCAGAGAGGAAGGGAGGGGGTCCTGGAGCCGCTTGGACTCAGGAACCTGGCCGGCCACACGCTGGCCATGCTGACACCCAGCCCACCCGAGGGAGCCCTCTCTGCACTCACAGGACCTCTGGCTGGGCACACTTTCTCCAAGTCTGGCTCCGGGTACCTGATGTCCCCACAAATTACAAACGGGGGCGGGGGGGGGGGGCGGCGGAGCCCAGGGAAGGCCTGCCTGCCTCTGTGCCCTCGAGGCCCCTGGACATCAAAGCCAGCCCGTCTTTGATGTGCGGCTCCCCAGAGGGATCGGGTTCCCTGTGTGGGGATCTGAGGGCAGGCCTGTAAACAAGCCAGGGGAGGGGCAGCTGCAATGGCTTCCAGACCTTCCCGGCCAATGAGCAGAGATCTCCCTCCAATACAGCAGACCGGGATGGTCCAGAGCTTTGGCCTGGCACTCCCTGCAACAGAGACCCCAGCAAAGCCCCGAGACTCTTGGAGGGGGCTGGGCCAGGGGCCTCCTGAAGGCGAGCCCGGTGCCCGACTTACTCCCATGCCCCAGGCCCAGGCAGAGCCGCAGGCAACCCTCGAGGCCCGGCCTGGTGCGGGGGGCCTCTGTGGGCGCCTGCCCGCCCCTCGTCAGATGCTGCCCCAGACCCGCAGGATGACGCCAGCTCTGTCCAAGGCCAGCAAACCCGCTCCTCTGGTTGGGCCAGAGCCCAGTGGGCACGGCCAGGCAGGGCAGACATGCTGTTGCCATTGGCTTCATGGACGTTCTTCACTCACCACGAACGTGCTGGCACCACGGGCAGGAGACGTCCGTCCAACCAGGGCCGGCTCCCGGCAGGGCACTGTGCTGGGGCACAAGCCAGGTATCCGGAGACCCTATTTACCTCACCTCCTTGGGCCTGACCAAGCCAGGCAGGTACAAACATGGGTGTTGCCAACACAAACCCAGTGCCACCGCATTCCCCACGTCAGCACAAAAGGGACAAAACCCAACCCAAACAACAGGGCTGGGTTTCAGGCACAGTGGCCACTAGAAGGCCCAACTCGGGCAAGGCCACATCCCAAGGGGCCAGGCAATGCATACCCCAACACAGAGATGAGGTGAGGGCCGGAAGGAGCCACGGGGTCCCTCCTCCAGGGTGGATGGGGCAGGGGTGGTTTCAAGAGGGAAATTTCCTTTCCTTCCCAAGGAAGGACGGAGGCAGTGGCCAAGAACTCTGACACCCTCCTTAGTGTAACCCCGGGCTGTTCCCCAAGTTCACAGTAGCCCCCCTGCAGTCCACTGTGCCCCGGGGTCACACAACACTGAGGGAACCACGCACACAGCCTGCCCTTCCCAGCGACATTCAAAGCCGTTTCCTACCAGTGCGACAGACGGTGCTGAGAGCACAGGCTCAGCCACGAAGCCCGGCGGGGAGCAGAGGGACCCCAGGCACCGGGTAGCAGCCTGGGAGTCGCAGGCCTGGAGCCCCTCTCCCTGGGGCTCTCCCTGCCTCAGAGAGCTGAGAAGTGAGGAGGACTGGCCAGTCCGTTCGGAGGCTGGCACTGTCTGCGGCGGCCCCCAGTCCCGTGTGGGCACGGGACTGTAGCTATAGCCCACGGGGAGACCAGTCCGAGAGTGAGACACGCCAGATTTCAATGGCCTCCGTCCGACAGGGAATGTAAAAATACCTCGTTTTCCTGTGGATCACATGTTCAAAGCCCAGCGATCTGGACACACGGGGTCAAGTCCTTCAAAGTCCTAAGATTAACTGCACCTGTTCTCACCGTTCTTTTGATGTGGCTGCCCGAAAACTCGGAATCACCTCCGTGGCCCACATGTGTGGCACAGGTGGCATGTCCAGTGGCCAGTTAGCTGATCCAGATGCTGGTGGGCAGGGCAGGGCCACCGTGCAAAAGAGCTGCCCCCCTGGCCAGCAGTGGCTCCCAGAAGCCATGCTCCCTCCGCCAGAGTCCCAGCAAGCAGAGCACACCGCTGCCCTTGGACACGGACCTCCGCCAGAGAGCACCGGCGAGGAGAACCGGCCCCCCTGCTCATCCCACTCTGTGCAGACCTGGAATTCCCAGAGTCGCCGGCCTCCACCGGAGTCCACGGGCGTCAACCCCTACGAGGGTCTGTCGGGGGCCACGCATGGGTCCACGTCCACAGTGTCCCTACCTGGCGGGCCACCCCCGCATGGCTCCAGTGTGCATCACCAGCTAATTGGGCACGGGGCCGGGACCCAGGGATGACGCTGCCACCTGTCCCCCCTCACGTGAACCCGGCTCTGTGGTTAGTGAACGCCAGCTCCCGAGAGGTGCGCAGAACCTCAGAGACCAGGCTCAGCGCGGGGCCTCTCTGCTGGCCTCGCCTTCTGCCCCTAGAAGCTGGTCAGCAGGGACCCGGGGGCCCGGTCAGGCAGCTGGACGGTCTGTTCCTGCTCTCCGCGGGGCTGGTGGCACACGGCGGGCGCAGCCGCACATCGCAGCCATGGACAGGTGCTGGGAGCGCAACGCAGAGAGGACACAGCCTGCTCTGGACACCACGAAGGACAGCCACGCGACGCATGTTCGTGGATGCCCCACTGCCAACTCCAACCGCCCAGCTCCTCCCGGGGCGAGCTCCCACCTCCCCAGAGCCGTCCCCATCCCACTCAGCTCCCTAAACCCCATTGGCAGCTTCCCCTCCCAAGAGGCCGGTCTACCGTTTCCTCCTCTGCTTCCGTCCCCCAGCTGGCCAGGCACCAGGTCCTGCGTGTTGCCACGGGAGACGCTGATTCCTTTAGGATTTCAGTTTCCAGGGGCGCCTGGGGGGCTCAGTTGGTTGAGCGTCTGCCTTCAGCTCAGGTCATGATCCTGGAGCCCCAAGATCGAGTCCCGCACCAGGCTCCCTACTCAGCGGGGGGCTGCTTCTCCCTCTGACCCTCCCCGTCATGCTCTCGCTCTCTCATTCTCTCTCTCTCAAATAAATAAATAAAATCTTAAACAAACAGAAATATTTCAGTTTCCAGTGCGGTTTGTTTTGCTCTCCTCCTGGCGGACCCCGTCTGCCCTTCAGTGGTGCGGTCTCAGCGGCATCCTCAGACCACGCACAAGGGGCAAACGTGTGACCTTTCAGGCCCGGAACTGGCTTTGTCCATCCTCATGCTCACAGGTACCTCGACGGAGAGATAGTTCTAGAACAAACACTAGAAGACACCGATCAGCCAGCTTCCCGGCGCCGCGGCCCTCCTGCAGGCCTGCCCCGTGTCTGAGCATGAAGCACGGACCCTTCCACCCCAGCTCCCGCTGCTGCACAGTGGGGGGGGTCGGTCAGGCACAGCGGAGGATCGAGCAGCCACAGGCCCGGGTGTGTGTGCCGAAGCTCATGAGTCTGAGTGCCCGCTGTCCTGCTCGCTTGCCTGTGGGAGCCGCTGGGGGAGGGGACACGCTCATGTAATCTCCCGTTCTTGAAACAGCACCTCAGTCCAGAGAGCCCTGGGCACTGCCTCCAGGACCAGCAGCACAACGCAGGAGGGGAGCTAAGGCCCCCTGCCTGCTCTGCCTCCTCTATCACCCATCTTCCCCTCCTGCCTCCTTGCCGAGCCATCGCCCACCCCACCCTCGATCTGGCACGCCACTGCCTGGGCTCTGAGTCGTAGCTTCATGAAGTCCTTCAGTGTTGGTCTAGTCGCCTTTTAGAAGGAGGATGAATGACACACTCCGTTCCATGAACTCTTCCTGTTCTTCGTTTTTGCCGCGGGGCCCTTACGCCTGCCGTCCCCTTGACCCAGAAAGCTCCTTCCCAGATCCTGATGCTGCTGCTCCCGAGCCCTCCCCGCCGAACCACCCAGGAAATGCTGCCCTGTCGCCTCCCAGGGCGCCCTCCCTTCTTCTCTGTGACATCTCCGGGTGGCTCTGTGCACCTGCCTATCTGCTTCGGAACCCATCTCGGTGAGCTCGGTGAGGCAGCCCTGCCTGTGCTGAGTGGTCCTGATGAAAGAGGGACAGACAGACACAGCCACTGAGGGCAGACACCCGTGGCCCCGGAGCCGAGCTCTGACCAGCACCTCCTCCCCTGGATGTCCCATCCTCTTCTGAAAATAAGGGTGCCAGAAGCGCAGCCTCGCCCAGCCAACAGGAATTCCGCCCAGGTCAGACAACAGGCACCAGCAGCAGCACAGGGAGGCCATCACTGCCACCGATCAGCGAAGCAGGAGTGCCCAGGGAGCACGCGGAGGCTGGCGGAGGGGAAGCAGCCCTGGCTGCCGGGGCCCAGGCTCGGGGGAGCAGAAGGTAGCCACCTGGTCTGGGCCCAGCAGCCTCGGCAGCCACATCACTAAAAGGACCGGCACATCAGAAATGGGAAGAGAAGCCCCAGTGGGACAGCTCAGGTCGGGGGGAAGGGGAGGCAAGAATCGGCTGCAGGGACCACACAAGCCACGGTCAGACCAACAGGGGCTGTCTTGTGGTGAGGCTCTGTCCCCAGGAGAGCCCTACCTGGAGGCCCCCTGTGCACAGACACGCCTCAGGGCCAAGCCCGTTTTCAGGACTGGACACACATTCACCCGCCCTATCCTCACATCATCTGCGGGAGCCCCCTAGATGGCTGGCGGGTGGCCCCGGGTCACACACAGAGTACCACACCCTCCCACGGCCCTTCCACGGTCGCGAGTGGACGAAGACCTCTGAGCCAAAATGAAAGACCAAAAAGCAAAGTACCACCACTCTGACACATTCAAAAAGAACATTTACACCGTTAACTACCAGATGAAAATTGACACGCCGAACGCCACTAAGATTTTCTCTTTAAACAGGACATGGTTCCACGATAAGGAAGTTTTATACCCAAACCCCTGGTCCACTGAGGAGCCCAGAGCCCCCTGTCCCCCTCACCGCTAACCGAGCCCCCCATGATGACAGAAGCATGGCTCTGCCCTTCCAGGAGGACACGGACGGCACCACGGTCATGACAGGAAGCTCAGCAAGAAAGATGAGCTGCAGGTGGCCACACCCACTGGGGCAGCAAACGGACCGGCGGCCCCCTCACCATGAAACCAGTCCCCTCACCAGGACCACAGAGCCCAAGAGGCGCGGCCTCAGGCCACGGCAAGCCTCAGGGCTGTGGCTCCGGACCAGGCCCCTGGCCCAGCAGCACCCGCAGCACAGCGGGGCAGAGCCCGGAACCGGCTCACCGGCGCTCACCTGGTCTGTGCAAAATGGCTGAGCAGCTCCCAGAGCGTCTGGCCCGAGCAGAAAGTGTCTTGCAACCGAGAGCCGTCGTCCAGCTGCAGAGCGATGCGAACCTGAGGGGTGCGGGCGCAGGACACCAGTCAGGAAGGAAAGCGGCCGTCCTGCCCCGGACCCACGTCCGCGTCTCAGGCACAGGTAAGAGAGCCCTGTCCCTCCGGGCTGCCGGGATCGCGTGGGCGTATGGGAAGCCGCCCCGAACGCTGCAAACGTCTGTCGCCACGCTGGAAGCTGCCGGACTTGGGGCCGGCCCGTCGCGCAGCAACAGACGAGGAGCGCGCACCCCCCAAGTTCTCTCCGCGGACCAGCTCCGGGCATGACAGCTACCTCTGTAAGTGGGGACGGGGGTCTACCTCTCCCGTCCCTCTGCTGCATGACAGGCACATCAGGGCACGCATGCTCAGAGCCCGGGGGCGAGCGTGTGTCCGACACCCACCAGCACCGCCCCCGGCCCCACTATGGCCGTCTCCACCCGTGATAACCGTGGGGTCGTCCGCCTCAGTCTCCAGAACCTAAGAGTCACTGATCTGGTGAAGAGCCACAGGCCACAGTCAGACTCGGGCCACGATCCGGGCAAGGCCTGGGAGGTCCAGGGTGAAGCCCGGGCCCCTGGGCCACCGTCCTCCCCAAACGAGGCCACATGCAACATCCCACGGGACTCTGCAGGCTCCAGACAATTCCACGAGCACAATCATCAGGCCGGCAAGCGCTGCTGACAGACACAGCGCTAGCTAGCTCACCCGAGAGACAAACCCCGAACGAAGACTGAGAAGGCTCACTTCCCATCCACAGCTGACCCCGGACGGCGTGGGGCGTGGGGACACGGGCCTCACTGGCACACCGCCCTCCATTTACCCTAACACTCCTGTGACGCGGCCTCCCGCGGCCCAAACAGCCTGAAGGAAAGAGCCAGAGGCAGCACCCGCCCCCTGAGAGCCGCCTACCGTGTTCTCGGGGCCCTCGCGGCTCCGGGAGATGGGTACCATCTCCAGCTTGGCATTGTTGGGCAGGTTGGCGAATCTCCACTGGAGAGAGAGGTCAAGCACATTCCTTTGAAACCTGCAAAACAGGCCATAGCTCATGGGCTGCTGACACAGCCCGGTGATCACACGGTGCTGGCACAGCCCCACTAGGAGCAGGGGCCCCGGCAGTGCCCCCGGCTGCGGGACAGCAGTACAGCCTGCAAGCCAGCCGGGACACAGTGGGCCCCCATCTGCAGCGGGTCTTCGAATGAACAAGAGAATGACGACTGACTCAGCTTTGAGCGTACAAGGAAAGAGCAAGAAGGAGAAACCAGAAACGGGTCACCGTCTGGGGCAGACCAAGGGGCTGTCCACCCCCACCAGGCGTAAAGCAGCAATATGCCCAAGTCCAGGCTCAAAAAATAAAACACACCCAGGGGTACTAAGGGCGTGCACCTGGCTCTGCTCAGAGGTTCTCACCTGACTCTGGCAGGTGGGGGGATTGGCAGGGGTACAGAAAGAGCAAAAGGCTCAGTGACAGCATGGCAGGGGACAGCCAGTATGGAGCACAGCCCCAGGATTCTCAGTGGCAGCATGGGTGAGGCCCAGGAAAGCAAGCGCCCGCACGAAGGGCCCCTCTCGTCCCTGACGTGAAGACAGCCACACCATCACGACATGAGGCTAAGGCGAAAAGTTCTCAGGTGGAACTGAAACCCAAACCCGACCAAAGCAGGGTTCTGGCCCTTTTGTAGTTTCAGACCACTTGGGAATCCGATGGAAACCCCCTCTCTAGAAAAACGCCCGCACACGGAGACCCACGCGTGTAACTCCGAGGCCGCGAGGCCACCCAACCCGCCCCCAGCTTGCAGGGGTTTTCCTGTTTCTGCAAGACCACGTCCTCTTGCTCTCAGAGCCCCACCAGGAACTTACACAACCAAATGCACAAAAACCCTCTGCGGAGACCCCTAGAAAAGACATATCCACATCCTAACCCCAGAACCGGGAATGGGGCCTCACTTGAAAATAAGGGCTTGGCAGCTGTAACTGAGTTAAGGATCTGGAGATGAGGTCATCCTGGACTGGGGTGGGCCCTAAATCCAATGAGAAGTGTCCTTATAGGAGACAGAAGAGGAAACGACACGCAACAGAGAGGGAGAAGGCCACGTGAGGAAGAGGTAGAAGCTGAGGGCAGCCACCAGCAGGTGGGAGAGATGACGGAGGCTCCTCTCCTAGTCTTGCCAGCAGCGTGGCCCTGCCCATGCCTTGACTTTGGGCTTCTGTGAGAAAATGAACGAGTTGGCTTAAGGCCCCAGGCAGAGCGCTGGGCAGGGGTGGACAGACTTGGACCCTAGCAAACTCACTTCAGATCGTATTCGCTGGGGTTGAAGTCCTGTCGCCGGCATGTGTCCTCCAGAACCTAGGAGTCAGACCACAGGCTCGTGAGCCACTGTGTCGGGCCGGCCGCTGGGCTGGCAGGCACACAGTCCCTCTGCGTGAACTAACGGGCTGTCCACTCGACAGGCCTACACCCCTCCCTTGCAACGCCTGTTCACCGCGCCCCGGCACCGGGCCTGCCCCCCGGCACCGGGCCTGCGGGGCAACCCCCACCACACACCTCTCGCTACGCACGGGGCCCCTCCGCCGGCTGCGCGTCACCGTCCTCCCCACGAGCCGCGGCACAGACGGCCCCCGCCCCCGGGCCCCGCGAGCACGCGGCTCAGGCCGCCAGCGCCCCACGCTGGGGACTGCGCCCCACGCTGGGGACTGCTCCCCACCCGGCCTGCACAGCGGGGCCCGGGGCGCCTCCTGCGGCGGCGACTGCCCCGCACCGAACGCACGAGTGACTCAGCAGGTCAGTTTCCAGGCGCCACGGCCGCACGCCCGGGGACACCGGGCCGGGGACACGGCTCGGGGCTCCGCCGCCGACTCTGTGGGGCGGAAGGAGGTGCCGCGCCCGGACTCCCGCCAGCCCGACCCCAGCCCCGCAGCGACCCGCAGAGCCCCTGAACCCCGAGCCCGGCGCGGAAGGGGGCGGGCCCGTCGCGCCAGGAGGCCGCTCATTGGCCGCCGCTGGTCCCGCCCCCTCAAGCCCCGCCCCGCGCCCCCCCTCCGGCCCCAACCGCAGGCGCGGGCCCGGCGCCGCCCGCCCGCCCGCAGCTCTCCCGGCCGCAGCCACCGCCCGCCGCCGCCGCACCTGCAACAGCACGGTGCTCGGCGTCACCTTCACCGTGTGGCGCCGTCCGTTCGGGGCCAGCACCGACACCGCGGAGCCCCCTCCGCCTGCCGGGGCCGCCATCTTTCGCTCACGTGACCCGCCGCCGCCAGGCCGGCGTCAAACCACTTTCTCGCTAACAGCCGGGACGCACAGCCACGCGGTGGCGGGGCGGGGCCTGAGGGGGCGGAGCTCGCGCGTGCTTCCGGGCCCGCCGCGGCGTCCGGGCCCCGCCCCCGAGGTCCGGGCCCCGCCCCCGAATCGGGCCCGCGCCAGGGCGCGTTCGCCGAGCTGCCGAGAGCTCTTAGCCCGCGTGGTCCGGCACCAACACCCCAACGGGCGCCTCGTGGCTGCGGGCCGCGAGCTCGCGTGGCCTGGGCTCCGGGTCCCCGCCCGGCCACCACGCCTCGCCGGCCTGCGCCTCTCTCGCCCTTCGGCCCCGGCTCCAGCGCCCGCCGACCTGCCCCTCCTTCCTGCCCACTGTCCCCAAGTCCCCCGCGGTCACTCCGCCTGCAGCCCTGGGGGGTGGCGTGAAGGTCAGGGACCGGCTCGGGGTAAAGGCCGGCCAGAGGCTCCAGACCAAAGAGAGGGCATTGGGTGAAAGTCCGAGACCAGCGCTCTACAGGCTCCGTGCCGGGCTCGCATTCACCACCAGCGGTACCCTGAGCCAGGATGTGTCCCCCATCCCAGCCCACCGCAGGGGAGTCTGTGGAAGGTCGGGAGAATGGGCGCGTGGGATCCTTCCACCCCTCCTGTGTGGGTGCTGTCCCACCTTCATGGGGGTGACCCACCCACCTCTTGCGTACCCACATGCGGACCAACACAGACCTCTGCATGCATATGTAGGGAAACTGAGGAAGCTCCAGGGACCCTCCTCATAGTCTGGCCTCAGAGTCCAGGATCCAGGCAGCAGTGCAATGCTCAGTGGGACCTGAGTGTCCCAGGGAGCCCTCTCACCATCAGTGAGCCCCTCCCCCGAGGCCACAGAGCATCAGAGGACACTGGAGATGTTGCTCGGGAGGCACCTGTGAGGTCATCTGGTCAAGCCCCAAAAACAGCCACAGCCAGGTCTTCACTGGCTCAGAGACAACGGCGGCTGCCCTGTCCCTTCCTTGCTATCGCCTTGTCCACTCCTGCCTGCTCTCATGGGTCTCACTGTCTGTGTGGGGCCGGACACACTAGGGCTTAGAGCACACCCTCTTGGGGCCTTTGTGGTCGCTATGGGGTCAAGCTCTCCCACCCCACCCTTCTGCCTATCGGGGCCCCGCAGGCGTTCTGTGGGAGACAGGGCCCTACACCCCAAGTCGTCCCCAGCCCAGCCTCTTTGGCATGTCGCCGGGCCGGGGTTCCCTCGGAGCCTCCGCCCCACGAGGACAGGCCTTTCACATTCTCTCACTTGTTTACTGCTCTTTCCATCTGCGCGGCCCTTCGCTGCACCGGTCCGAGGTCCGAGGTCCGTGGGGCAGAGCCTGGCAGGGGGCAAGTGTTAGACCGTTGCTAGTACATTGAGCACACGGCCCCCCAACCGGGCCTTCCCCTCCCGCCGCTGATCCTCACCTGACAGAGGCAGGGTGCCCCCAACTCTGTGGGATCTGCGTTGGGGCCCTGGCAGTGGGAGGTGGGAGAGTCAGGCCAGACCCCCCTCCCCTCAGCGGCCTGTTATGGCTGGACCCGGACACAGTGGGGCACCTGGGGACTCAGGCCACTGTGTCCTGGCTTGGAGCCCTGGAGCACTGGCCCCACAGCCTGACAAGCCTCCGAAGGCAAGAAACACCTGGAGGTGGCCCCTCTTGGCCGGGGGTTGATTTCGCACCACAGCCGAACATTCAGGTCCCGGATGTGCCAGATCCCCGCCACCATGGGAAGGCCCCTCACCTGCCTCTGGTGACCGCGTACTCGGAGCCGAACACACACTGGGAGGGTTTGCTCCCCTGAGAGGCCTGCCTCGGCTCCTCTGTGTGACTCAGCAAGCTCGCTTTGCGCTCCGTCTCCTCCTACGCGTTCCAGATGCAGCCTTGAGCTACCCGGATCGCAGGACTCTGGCCCAGAAAGGTCATCTTTGGGAGGTTGGCCAGGCCACGAAGAGGGGTCCTTCCCCAGGTGTTTCGTTCGGCGTCTCCGCGCAGCTTCTGTTCTTCTTGCCCAAGCCGCTCTTTCAGAGAAGGGCAGGGCTGTGCATTCCTGGTCCAGCGGCTTCGTTTGTGACACCCACACCTGGAATGACCCGATGTCCTTCAACAGGTGCGATCTTGGACACCCTGTGGCATGGTCACCCCGCAGCGGAACATGGCTCAGCCATCCAAAACAAGCTACAGGCGCAGCGCCCTGGGTGGCTCCCTGGGGAAGGGGACGGAGGCATAAAAAGCCATTCCCCAAGGGCTACAGGCATATCGTAGGGCACATCTGTACAGCCTGATGGAAATGGCAGCATTTTAGAAATGCTGGAAGGGTTGTCAGGTTTTCAGGGCAATGGTTTGGGGGAAGGAGTGAGGCCAGTGTGGCTGTGGGAGGGTAATGCCTGGGACCCTCAGGGAACATGAAGGGGGTGCGCCATGTCCCCCTCACTGTCCAGGTGGTGACACTGTCCTTAGTTCTGTCAAATGTTATGATCGCGGAAGAGCTGGCAAAGTGAGCAAGGGGTAGGCTCTGTGTTCTTTTTTATGATTCCACGTGATTCTGTCATCATCTCAATACAATTTTCAGTTAAAAAATGGCATCTATAGGGGCTCCGGGCTGGCTCAGTCAGAGGAGCGTGTGACTCTGGATCTCAGGACCATGAGTTCGAGACACACATTCGGTAGAGAGATTATTTAAACAAAAACTTTAAGGGGCGCCTGGGTGGCTCAGTTGGTTAAGCGTCTGCCTTTGGCTCAGGGCATGATCAGGGGGTACCGGGATCGAGCCCCGCACCCGGCTCCCTACCCAGCGGGTAGCCTGCTTCTCCCTCCGCCTGCTGCTCCCGCTGCTTGTGCACTCTCTCTCTGACAAATAAAGACAATCTAAAAAAAAAAAAAAAAACAGACAAACTTACAAAGGTGACATTTACAGAAAACCGAACCCTTGATACAGTAAACCACCACTTTCCAGCACTTCTCTACACTTTCTCCTAGATGAGCACTGCTAAGGACTCGTCACATTTGCATCTTCTCCATACGGATATTTGCACACGTATTTATGTCTGAAGGTCAGCCAGCAGAATGACCCGCGTAACCCAGCAGCGCCTCCTGAGAACCAGGACCTTCCCCGCTGCCTGTAGCCGGTCCCAAGGTGGACTACATGACCTACATGGTCATGGGTGCGACGGTATCACCTGATACACACTTTCCTTTGGAATTGCCCTTGCCCCAGAACGGCCCTTCACAGCTGGCTGTCGCATTGCCTTCGGTCGTCACATCTGTTTTGCTCTTTTAATCCACAACAGACCCTCCATCTTCTGTTCATCTTGTTTCACTTTTCCATGACACTCGCATTCTGTGAGAAGGCAGCCCCATTTGCTGCGAACTGGATCCTCCTTCCGGGGCTAAGCATTGCGAGCAGTGAGGCAGGACGGGGGAGAGCCCGTCGGGAGATCCGGGACACCGGCTTGTCCGGTTAGTGGGGAGCAGATTCTGGACACACGGTCAAGGTGGGGTGTGCCACAGCGCCCCACGGTCAAGGTTCTTCACAGAGTGAATAAGCCATGTGTGGGGCGACTCCCAGAACCTGTAACTGCGCGTTTCCAACAGTCATTCCCCCAGTGGCTTTAGCCTCCCTTGATGGCTGGTGTCTGCCTCCTTCATTACATTTGTGATCACAAAGTCCTGACTTCCTAATTTTATCACTTCCTTTACATGTAGTAGGCATTGTTTGGGTTGAGAAATGCTTTCCCTCTTTTAAGAAAAAATTCTTAAATGTTAAGATGAATTCATAGATTCTCTTTGATGCTCAAACTGATCTAAATTTGACCAGCGAGACCCTCTTCAAGCCAGCTCCTATGGTCCCTTCTTTTCGGAGGGGGGATTTTTATTTTTATATCATTTCAAACTTAGAAGAAAGTTGCAAGAACAGTACAAGGACTTCCTGGGAGTCTCTTAGACTTGCCAGTTGCAGCATCCTGCCCCCTTGCTTGGTCATCTTCTCCTCGTCTCCGTGTTTATACTCATAGGCTTTTTCTCTGAACCATTTGAGAGTAAATTGGAGACACTCGGTACCTTCCCCACTCAGGACTTGTGTGTTTCCTAAGAGCAAAGCCATCCTCTTCCACAACCATGAACTACTATACACCATGGGAACTCCAGCATCGACACTGTTCTCTGAGCAAGTCCGCGGGCACCTCTGTCATCAACATCTTTCCTGCAGCCTTTCGACGTGTTTCCAGCCCTCTCTGAGCACTTCACTTCTGTCGCTTACGATGTTGCAGGCTCACCCAGGATGCTCCCTGTCCCAACCTTGAATGTGCCATTTCTCAAGGAAGCCCCAGACTCCCAAAGGAGCAATGGGATGTAGAAATCAAAGCCTGGAGTGGGGTGTGCTCAGTGCTGTGGGGTGCCTCTGTCCTCCGCGACCTCACCAGGGACTGAGCTGGGATCCTGAAGGCATCGAATGTCTCTCCTTCCAAATCACACCTCAGGCTTCCTTCCCTTCCCTCATTACATGTGGTTGAAGCATATGAAATTGCCAATAGTCCACCACTTTTGTTCTACCGAAAAAAAAAAAAAAAGGCAAATCTACATGATTCTAGCAAATATCCCTTTCTCCATAGTGAGAACGCTCGTTTTCAGTCATATCAGTATATTTACTCACATTCTCTGTTCCAAAACCCCTCCAAATAGCTTTAGA